CTCTCTCTCTCTCTGCTGTCTTTCCTCTCTCTCTCTCTCTCTCTCTGCTGTCTTTCCTCTCTCTCTCTCTCTCTCTGCTGTCTTTCCTCTCTCTCTCTCTGCTGTCTTTATTCTCTCTCTCTCGTCTCTCTCTTCTTACCTTCAGTGCAGCAGCTTCCCAAGTCTCGTCTGACACATTCAGCCGGCAGCCACACGGGAGGACAGGACACAGCCGATTGCGATCTACCAGCGTTCGCTTTGCAATCGACTGGTAGATCGCGATCGACCTAATGGGCAACCCTGTCTTATAATCAACAGCAATATTGTGTTACTAAATACCTCAAAACAATAAAATGAAGGTCCCTTTCTTATGAAGGCTGAGTAAAGTTAATTAGGCATATGGATGTATGATGGATGGATACGTTTAATAAGGTGTATCGAGGTATGAATAATGTTGAAATTTGAATGGACATGCAGAAGATTGTTATCTTTGCAAATAAAAGAAAAAAAACAAAAAAGTTACCATCATTGTAAGGTTGAGGATTTCCAATCTTCCCACTAACCAAGTTTGCCCCCTTCAGTACTTCCAGCTCCATTACTATGACCACACGTCTAAGGAAGCAGAGGATAAAAACATTCAGTAAAGCCATATTCACATTATATCTGTAATCGTCCAACCATGGCGATAGTCCCCTGGTGCAACCACCTGTTGATATCATGTATTGTCTGGTCAATGATCCCTTCCTTCCCTCCTAGACTGTGATTGGACAATGAGGAAGTAAGAGCCCTCCTAAGAGGTCCTCTACTTCCTGTAAGAATTAAAGTCCTGGTAGGCTCAGAGTGATGACCCTCCCTCTCTCAGTATGAGAGCTGATGTGAAGAGGATTACATTAGACTTTAGGGCAGACCATTACAAAAAAAACAAAAAACACACACGCACACACTTTGCACCATTGAACTCCCCCAGCAATCTAAAAAAAAACACTTTCTTTTATTTACACTTCATGACTTGAAATCTGCTTCTAAAGCCTCCTTGGATATCCACGTTGCATATCCCAGGAGGCATTAGCTTCCTCACAGTAGCTGGGGAAGGCAGAACCTGTGGACATATCATAGGGAAACCAGCTACAAGAACCAGGGAGACAACCACCTCTCGCTGACCAAAGACGGTGGCGCAGGACCCAGAGCATGGCATATTACAACAGAGCAACGCTGGATTCTTTGGGCATGCGAGTAGGTTTACTGTGGGAAAATCCCAAACCAAAAATCTACGTGGGGATCTTAATTTTTTTTAAGCCCCCCCCCCCCTGTCCAATCCTCCAGCGCTGAGTGGAGGAACGGACGGGGGAGAGGGCGTGTACAGCTGGCTCTGCCCCTAGATAGGCAGAGCCAGCTGTCAATCACGCAGCTGGGTGGATCTCGACAGTATTGTCGGGATCCGTCCCGGCTGCGGCGGTCTCAGTATCGCGCTCGCGGTATACTGAGCTTTGGGTCACGGGAGGATGCTAGTTTGTGTCCTCCCGTGACCCTTAGAACTATGCAGAAAAGCACTGACCCCATAGTTCTCCTTTAAGTTAGGCACCAAGTATAAAATTATGAATTCATAATTTGATTGAAGGTTTTTACATCTGACTTTAATTCATCATCGTGTTAAAACAATAGAAATATACCTACTACCTGCAAAACCTCAAATAAGATCTGTTGCAGGACTTCTCAGATTATGCTAGAAAGAATTAGGCCAGAGAAAGGCCACATACAGGATCTTTATCCACCTTTGTGACATCATTCCCATACTCAAAAGATGCAAAACTGGCTAACTGCCCAATAATGCTGTAGTGTATGGGAAAGACTGACTTACAGACGTTTATGACGTTTGAGCTTCTTTGTTTTAGCTATTAGAACGCTTAAAAATGGAGGAAGAGGAAAAAAGGTAGTGCTACCAAAGTGCACTAATCTATTTTACTGGCTTGCCATAGAGAGAAAATGCAACTTTTAAGTTAGACACTTTACCGATCTTTGGGGAATGGCGCAGTTTTACACAAAACAATAACGTAAGCTGTAGACAAGCCAAAAAAGGTATTTCAGACAGACTTTTACCGAAGGCAGGAAGCACTAAACATACCGTATTCAAACATTAGAATAGAGCACAGTTTGTTTAATAATAAAATCTTAAGTACAGTATTGGCATGCACCACATGAGACATCAGACAACACATACAATATTAAATAGCTAAAATCGATATGCTTCAGGAAATACCTTGGAGGATAATACACATGTGAATAAACCTGCACAGCTAAAATTGGGTGTAATAAAAGGCAGAAGTAAATTTTCATTGCATAGCAATTGGCTCACCGATACAGACAAAGCAAGCAATGGGCTAAATACCTTCCATCTTTAAGGTTGTTTACAATGTACCGGGAGACCTTACAGATACAGTTTGCTGCAAGGAGATTCTGATCCACAAGAGAATTCAGCTGGGTAGCCAACATGAAAGCTGGAAAAAAAAATAAAAAACCAGTAAATGATAAAGATCCTCACTGACCGAAAATAAGAAAGCCCATTATTAAACCACGCAAAAGATAAAATGCAAGAATTAAAAAAACGGCCTCTAAATATATAATCCCCACCACCACCCCCTTCTCTCTCGATCTCTCTCTATCGATACTTTTGTTATTCATCGAAAAAGAAAATGGATTACCTATTGCCTGTAACCAGTGTTTTAGTATTCTATTTGAATAAGCATCATATATACATACACACACAGCACATATTTTATTTATTTATTAAACTCCCAGTTATCCAGGACCCATGGGGATTGGTAGATGGTGGATAACTGTAGTTTCTGGTTGCTTGAGAGTTACTAGTACCTCTCAAGCAACAAATCCTCCCCCCCCCCATTTATCTGCTGGCTAGATTCTGATTTTGGCCATTTCAAATTGCCATAGCCAATAGCAGGCTGGCTATTGCACACGCCCACTGCCAGTTTACATTCACCTGCAAGCTGCGGAATCTAGCCACTGCAGCAATATGTAAACAGATAATTGTATTAGCAACTAAATAAATTTAGTTGCCAACAACATTTTTTTTGTGTGCACATGTCTATGACCTAAGTCCTCGATTTTTTTTTTCTGGTTGCTTGAATGCCAGATAATGGAGAGTTTAATCTATCTACCTAATACAGGGGTAGCCAAATTCAGGCCCTCCAGCTGTGGTGAAACTACAAATCCCATGATGCATCTCTCTCCAGGAGTCATGTCTGTGGCTGTGAGAATCTTCCAATGCTTCATGGGATTTGTAGTTCCACCACAGCTGGTGGGCCAGAGTTTGGTTACCCCTGATCTAATAGGTAACTCTTGCAGCCGACAGATGGTGTTTTGAGCAAGCCATAGATACCAGCTTAAGAGAAATATGAATGGCTCAAAAGAAGGGAACCCCTCCCAACTTTTTATACCAGCATGTCAGCAAAGTTTTAAACTCCATTTCTGATTTTTTTTTTTCTCACTTAAATAACTCCCCCTGGAGGTTTTAACCCTTCCACTGCCAGAGACTATTTTAAAATGCACAGTTCAGCTCTAAAGGTTACTTAAAATCCTACAGAATTATATATTTTATGAAAGCAGAGACTCTGTAGACTAAAATAGTGGCAGCTGCAATATATGCCCTGCATTCCCGTGCAGCCGATCCCATTGCGGCCGGAAATCTGAAATCGGTAATTTCTCTCGCCCTTGCTGGGCACTGCCGTTTCCCCCGACACAGAACAGCATCCTGCAAGGAGGAAACAGTCAGGAAGCAGGGCGGAGAGCACTGTGATTGGCGTGTCACTGGAGGCCAAGCTCTCCACCTGCACCACCCTGCTTGGCTTACTGTGACAGATCACGATGGAGGGTGGTGTGGGGGGCAGCTGAGAGCGGCAATGTCACAGGAGATTGAGCTCTCCTCCCGCACTGCCCCACTTGGCCTCCTGTGACATATCAGGATGGAGAGTGGTGTGGGGGGGGAGACAGCCGTCACAGGAAGCAGCACAGCCTTCCCGTGGCTCAGCCTTCTGTGACAGCGAATCATGATGGACAGCTGTTACAAGCTGTCAGCGATCAGCTGATTGCTTGTAAATAATTGACACAGTATGTTTACTGTGTCCCCAATTACGAATGAACAGGAAGTGCTCTACATCACTTCCTGTTCATTCATGATTGTGGACATGGTTAACATACTATCTACACAAGTTATAAATGAACAGGAACACTCTGAATAGAGGCTTCCTGTTAATTTATAAAATATAGAACGCTTCAGCAAACCTGAATTAGATGGTTTCTAAAATCAATTAAAAATTTCTGTTTCTGTCAGATCTCCCTCAAACCTCTTGGTATTCTCAGCCCTCTCGCAGTAAGAGTTATGCTATGCAAACTTCCACAAAAGCAAAATAATTTCCGATAGTTGCGATTTAACAACCCCCTGCAGCCGCTGTCACTGACATTGCCAATCCCAGATCCGCTGTGCCCGGGACTGGCACGGCTGCTCTGTCACAGGAGATTAAAGGGAACTCAGTACACGATCTCCCTCTGATCTCCTCTGAGGTCCCCAAACGCATTCAGCTGTCATTCCCAGCTACAGAAGCTGGTGAAGCAGATCTCTGCTTCATCAGCTTCTGTGGGGGTCCCTAGGTGACATCAGAGGTCTTGGAGACCCCTGATGTCTCCATAAAGAGGACCTGTTATGTGAATTGGCTATCACATAGGGAGCATCTTAGCCCCCCATGTGATAGCAATAAAGTTAAGAGTAAAAAAAAAAAAAAAAAGGGAGTAAAAAAAATATTTAAAGCAAAAAACAAAAATTCTGTGGGGGTTTTTTTTTAAAGTACCCCACCCCCCACATACATGCGCGCCAGGTGCAAAAACGACGATTGCACCTATTGTGTTTCGCACATGTTACATATCACCACGAATGTCAGAATGAGAGCAATAATTTTAGGGCCCTTAATTAGGCCCCATTCACACGTAGCGACATACCTTTTGCAGCGGCCGGGATAGCACGACCTTAGGGGCGACGTTCCAGCGACGGTAGCGCGACCTTCTCAGTCGAGCTCCATTAGAAAAAAGCAAAATCCGCCGAAAAAAGGGTCCTGTAGAAGCGGCTTGCGACCGCGACATGAAGCTAAGACAGCTCCATTGAATATCATTAGCCGGCGACTTCTCGCGATATCGCGCAGCGATAAATCGCTACGTGTGAATGGGGCCTTACTGATAACACTAAACTGATGAGTAAAAGCATTTAAAGCATGCACAATTTTAAGGTCTTGCATATTTGGTGTCTATTTACACCTGTACATTGCCTATGGACTAGGGCTGCAACAACTAATCGACTAAATCATTGAAGAAACTATAAAAGAACAAATTCCCTATCAAGTAAAATCTTGCATAGGCATAAAAACTGGTGTGGAAAGGAAGGTAATGGTGGAACGCAGAGTAGAATAGCAATATACATAACTAGCACCATACTTTAAAAAGACCAAAATTGCAGGCATCCTTGAAACGCCAAAATAATTCAGTATCCAAAATTGTCCATAGGCGATGCTTTGAAAGCTTTACAGTATTGTTCCCACTCCGGCAATCGCATCGATACTCAACACATCAATGTGGCGCAGTTGTCCTTTTTATATGCAAGCATAGCCTGACACTTTTACATTCATATGTGTGCGCAAGTGGGTGCAGGGGGTCTGATAAGTGCAAAAGAAGAAAAAGGTTCTCATTAAGGAGACATCAGGGGTCTGTCAGAACCCTAATGTCACCTCTACACTACTTTGAAACTTCGGGTATAACAGATGTTGGTCTGCGGCATGTTCCTGTACTGCCCAAATAACCTCCACTCAAAAGCCAGTGACCAAAGGTTAGCATACAATATAACTAGGGCTGCAACCAACTAAAATCGATTAAATCGAGAATAGTTGTCAACTATTCTAATTATCAATTAGTTGGTTGAATCCCAGAGCACTCTCCTCCATGCTGGGAGGAGGGCATAGCAAGCAGTTGACGGGTGCAATAGCCAGAATCTTGCCATTGGCAGCTGTCATGCCCTGGCTGAAGCTATTCAAACGTCATGTGCTTATAATAATTATAATTATTGCTTACAATTATACAAAAAAATTTTTTTAAAAGTCATTTTTGGTTTCGGCCTGACAAACTCTGCTGCGGGAGGTGCGTTGCAGTCCAATTCATTTCAATGGCACCCCAAACGTGCCTCCCACCCATCGCCAGCACTGGAATGCGATGCTGTGCATTTCAGTGCAGTGCAATTGCAAAAAATTGTGCGCGCTTTTATTCTGAAGTAAACTTTGTAACTGCATTTGTGTATTTTATTTTAAATTAAGAGGATAGTATTTCATTTTTCTACCCCATCAAAAAAAAAAAAAAAAAAAAATCGGCAAACTAATCGATTATGAAAATAACATAAATTAGTTGCAGCCCTAAATGTAACAGTTACCTAACAAAAAGAATCCTAATGACTCACAAAATAGGATTACACTTATCTTAAATATGAAATAACACTGACAATGTAAAGGATGGACCGCTGCAAACTGTTAGGATAATAACCTGAATATTTACTGAGTTTTGGTCAAAGGGTATTTTTTTGTGGGCAGGAACAAACGTTTTGAGAATAGGAGTGAAATTTTAAGTCGAAATAAAGAAAGAAAAACCACACAAAAGAAAAAACACCAAAATGAGGGACAGCCTGAGCGAATGTAAATAAGACAGCTAATGTTTTTGCGTTTCTGGAGGGAAGAGTATTCAGTTTCATTTTCAAATCATTAAGCGACCCCTTCCTGCTGTGCCAAGTCAGCTCAGTTTTCACTACCTTAGCAGAACAGGGTGCCAAGGTACTTAAGTGAAAGTGAATACTTGGATCTGTACATAAAGCAGTTCAGACCTGCTTACCAGAAACAGCTAATGCAAAAACGTTAATTTCTTGTCTGCCCACTGTCCAGCAATTAATGTAATTATCAAGAACCCAGTTAGTCCCATTTACATGGCTACATAAACATGCTACAATAAATAATAAAAAAAAAAGAAGATGCAACCTACACGAAAGTGTGTTTAACCCATCGCTCATCAGCAACCGGTAGCGAGGAGGACCAGCAGCAGTGTTGATTGGACGAATGTTCTAAATCAGGATAAAAAACAAAAAAGTTATTAATACAAACCCAAAAAGTTTTCTTACAGGTCTCCCTCACTGTAAAATTTCTGAAGTCCTTTGAGGAGCATAGGAAGTCTTTAACCTTTGGGTTACACTGCTGCCTACAGGAGGCTTGGACGTCGGTAAACAGAAACAAACAAAACTGTGGACAAGCCCAGGATAATCCTCTCCTCTATTACCTGCATGTCTCATGTTTGGTAGCAAGCAGTACTGAAAGAATAAACACAGACGTGGGACCTATGCCCCTCAATGGATTTTAGGAAAAGGTTTTTACAGCAAGTTCAAAAATAACATTTTTTTTCTCACCCACAAGTCTTTTACCTTGGATGTCCGAAAGCAGTCCAACTGAGGAGTGGGCAACACAGCAAAAAAACACAGGCCCAAGAAAACAGAAAATAATTGAATTGTCTGGAGCTTGCAGAGGTCCTGAAGCAGGCATGTAATGTTAGAAAGGGGGCTGTGTGAAGTTATGTTTACTTAACACCGTTTGTACTTGCAGATTTCAACATCAGTTTTAAACTAAGTTTGATCACTGTCTTAACAAAGGATTACAGACTTAAGTGTTAAAGACTTAGAAGTATTATGTTAATGGAAGCAGCTTAGTCTGTCTCTCTACCTTCATTTTCAAACTGCTCAGAGTAGCTTGAAATCTGCACAAAGGCCTTCAGAAAACATCTAACAAAAGGCAAGAAATTTTAAATAATTGTATTTCGGAATACTGTGTGAATAGGAGCACATAACACTGGTGTTTTCTCAAATTCGACTGCAAAAGTGGAACTACACTGAAGTCCAGGTGGCAGCCTTGCATATTTGTGAACGTTGGTTGATGCCATAAAGCCCAAGAAGCACTCACAGATCTAGAGTGTGCATTGAAAGAAAAGGGTGGACCCTGATCCTCAACACAAGCTTGACTAATGGTCTGTCTTAGCCACCTACAGATGGTGGAACAAGAAGCCAATGTATCCTTTCAGGGTCCATCCAGGATAACAAAACAAAAATCACCCTTTCTGAAAGAGCAGTGGCTGAGAGACAGACTCACACAGCCTGTACCACATCTAAAGGATGAGGGGAAGTTTACTTTCGGTAAACTTGAGTCAGACAGAGGGACAGAAGGAAAGTGTCCTGGTTGTGGTAAAAGACAACTACCTTAGGCAAAAAGGAAGTTTCATGCTTCAATGCCACCTTGTCCTATGCAAAACCAAAAAGGCTTCTTTGCAGTATGAGGCCGCCAGTTCAAACGCTTGCCTGGCAGTGAGGTTCACACCACGTCAAGTATGCCTTCCATGTCCGACAATAGACTTTCTAGCTTTGAGCACTGTAGGAATCTCAGATTCAGAGATGCCCATTTCTCTCAAAAGCTGGGCTTTAACAGCCATGCCAATGAAGCTAGCAAGCGAGAAGCTGGATGGCAAATCGGCCCTTGGGACAGAAAATTCTGAAGATCTGGAAGCGTCCAAAGAGCACCCACTAGGAGTCTTACCAGGATGGCATTCATCTACCTGGGCCAGTATGGAGCAATGAGGTTCACCAGAATACAGTTCATCTCGATCCTGTGGGGCAGTGAAGGGAGACGTTTCAGGGGAGTAAATGCATAGATAAAGGGTGTACTGATCCCAGAGCACCCACTGTTTCCACTAGAGGATCCCTGTAACTGGAATTAACCTGTCCAGTTTGTTGTTGAACCTGGAGGCCAGGAGGTCCACATCCGGCAACATCAACCTGTGACTTAGGTCCTGGAACACTTACAGGTCTAGGGACCACTCTTCTGGGTTCAAGCTTTGTCATCAGAAAAAAATCTGCCTGCCAACAGTCTATGCCTGAAATGTACACAACGGACAAGGCCGGAGCGTGAAGCATAGTCCAGGACAGGAACTGCCCACCTCTCTTGCTGCAGAGACTTCTGGTTTCTACCGATGGTTTAAGTTTGCCACTGCACTGGTATTGTCCGTCAGAGTCCGGATCGTATGACCCCTCAACAAGATGGTCCAACCCTACCGAGACAGCCAAATCTACAGGATGTTTTAATCGGGAGACAAGTTTTCTCAGGCAACCAAGTCCACTACAAAAGTCCCAAAGTCTCCTCTCCAGCCTGACAGGGCATCCATCGTGAGGATCTTCCAAAAGATGGTAAGGATGGACTTCTCTAGCGCCAGAGCCAGATTCCTGAGCTACCAAGTCAAGGACAACCTGGTACCCAATGTAAAACGAAACAGTCCATCGAGAGACCAGACCAACTTGTCCCACGATGACAATGTTGCATTGCAGATCCCTGGAGTGGAACTGGTGAAAGGTACCTGCCTTGCAGGAGGCTAGCATCAGGCAAACCGTCACAGCTGAAGTTTGATGCTGAGAGATCTTTTCCAGATGAATAAGCAAAGGATCAACGACAGCAGTGGTTAGGTCTTCTGGTAATAGGACATTTGTGGGAAGGTGCAAGAGTGAAGTAAAGTAAAGAGCAGCAGAGGAGTTGCCAGAACACTCTTTTTGCACTTTGCCCAGGTCTGCAGGCACCCTTCTTGTGTTGGAGGGGTGTGAGAGAGAGCCGAGTCACAAAGGGGAGAATAGCTGTTTTGAAGCAGGAAAAGAAACCAAGGGAGAGCTGTGCTGCAGCAGTGAAAGGTGTGGGGGCAGGAGCTGTCAGTGGGGAAGAGGAGCATGGGGAGAATTGTGCTGCAGCAGGGAAAGGTGCAGGTAAAGGAGTTGTCGGAGAAGAGGAGCAGGGGAAGAACTGTGTTTGAGACAGGAAAGGTGTGAGGTGGGAGCTGTCAAAGTGTAGATGAGCTGGGAAAGAGCTGTGCTAGAGCAGGGAAATATATGTGTGTGGGGGGCGGGGGGGGGCTGTTGGAGAGGTAGATGAGCTGGGGGAGAACTGTGCTGGAACAGGGAAAGGTGTGGGATGGGAGCTGTCAGAGGGGTAGAGGTGTAGGAGGAGAGCTGTGCTGGAGCAGGGAAATATGTGTGTGTGTGTGGGGGGGGGGAGCTGTCAGAGGGGTAGAGGTGCAGGAGGAGAGCTGTGCTGAAGCAGAGAAAAGTGTTGGGGTAAGAGCTGTTGACTGAGCTGGGAAAGAACTGTGCTGGAGCAGGGAAAAATGTGAGGTGGAAGCTAACAGAGGGGTAGAGGAGCAGGGGGAAAGCTGTGCTGGAGAAGGGAAAGGTGTCAGGCAGTGTGAAGCAATATCAAAGGATGAGCGTGGAGGTATGAAGCAGATGGCTATGGTGGTGGGGGACTGTGGATGTAGAGCAGTGAAGAGTGAAGTTTAGTGCAGGGGGTGAGAGTTGTTAGAGCAGCAATGTTTGGGTGTGCAAAGTAATTTGTTAGTGAAGCACAAGTGTTGTGGAGTGTGGGAGAGAAATTAGAATTTTTTTTTCATAAGCTTTTTTTAGGTTTAGGAGAGAGAGGGCACACTATACATTCCTTTTAGCTAGGTGCTGTCTGTCTAGTAGCAGTGTCCCTGTTTATGGAAAATGCAGAGACTCCTTTCACTACATCATTCCAACAGTTGCAATTGTATAAACCAGCCAATAGTCTTTAATCCCAAGGGCATCCAGGAAAGGGTGTGTACACGCCAAGATTCTTCACAAGTAACCCATTATTCTAATTCAGGAGTTTTGGGTGATGGGCTTAGGAATATAATCAGGTAGATAAACTTATTACATTGTTATTAAAAAACAAATCTCTAAACTTAGATTGTAATGTACAAAGGGGACTGTAGTATAATAAAACTGGATAATAACTACTGCTGTGATCTAGATAGATCAAGAGAGGGCCTGGAAACAATGAGAATGAAGCAATGTACGCAAAAAAACTCAGAATTTAGATTGTATCACAGCTATGGGTGATTCAACAAAAATTGTAGATTGCAGGCAGTAATTGACTCCAATTATTGTCTTCAATCTACAAATTTCCATTCATTCTTATTGTTTCCAAACCTTAAGGAAGGTGGCCGTGTCTGCCCCCAAATGCATTAGATCAACATCATTATTAAACATTTTTTTTTGTGGACACTAACATCCATTTTGGTCTGGTGCGCTTCTCTTTTCTGTCCCTGATCTTCTCTGACTTTAAGGCTACGCACTAGTTGTTGAACAGTTTTGTAAGCATTTACTTTTCAGGGTCACAAGCATAGAGCTAGAATGTGAACTCTAAGAAATGGCAATTTCCATAAGAGGTGTCTAAAGCGGGTACCGTATATACTCGAGTACAAGCCGAGATTTTCAGCCCATTTTTGGGGTGAAACTTTGTGACAACTAACCTTCAAGCAAAAAGGATACTCAACAGTGTAGTTGAACACCAGGCAGAATTATTTCTAGTATAAGTACCCAATCTCTGTTGGGCCAAGCTTCAGTATCTTGCTAGTCGGTCCCGCTGACTCTCAAAATACCTGAACAATGCCTGCATCCAATCAGATTGTTCAGATATTTTCACAGCAAGCGGGGCAGACTAGCAAGATACCGAAGCTTGGCCCGGTGGGAGATTCCTCCATCCACACAGTTTAGCACAGATAGCACAATAGGTTCCTCTTTTTCCATGTGACCATATAATATCTGCAAAAAATCTATAGGTGAGTGGCCAGCTTAACACTATGGCAATACATACAAGGAAGGAGAACACAAAGATGACCTAATTTGTGTTGAGAACTGTCCAACCAGCAAGTTCAGAGTAGGTCTTTAAAGGACATTGGAATGTGTGCATTCCCAGGAGTCACAGGGCTGTTTTTCATACTTTGTTTTATAGATTCTTTTACAGGCCTAGAAGTTCAAAATATCCTCCACAATATCTTCAATCCATCTCACAGGGTAGGGTTGTTATCTCTAAACTGCAATCAGCTGTTTTCCCCCTCCTCCCCTCTGTGCTCTGTGAAAAGAAAGCAGAGATGAGTCATAGAGCTGTGTGTCTGTGTGAGTGTTAAGGTGCCCATACACTGCACGATTATCGTACGAGAATTGCGGCAAATCCCGCGATCGTACGATAATCGCAAAGTGTATGGAAGGCGTGCGACCGTTTCTACTGTACGGTCGCACGTCTTCCGTCGAACAAGCATGCTGGAAAACCCACCGAGAATCGTACGTTTCTCGGCGAGTTAGTGGCCCGCTTGTTCGACAACTGCCGAACAGGACGGTGTGCGCACGCGCACACTGCCCGTTTGCAGTCATCGGAAGCCCGCCCCACAGGGTGGTGGCCTTGCGATGATCGAAAGTGCGATCTACCTGTCCAAGATGGGCAGATCGTACTTTTTTTTTAAATTACTTTACAACCCTTGCAAGGCAAAAGTCTTGCGAGGGTTGTAAAGTGTATGGCCACCTTTAGAATCACTTGCCCTGTTCTATAGACTTCTGTGTCCTGTGCCTCTCTCAGATCTCCCCCTTATCCTCGGTCACATTTACTCTCGGCTGCCCCAAGTCCAGGTTCCCCAATAACCCCTCCCCACCATTCTTCGCATTTACAGATATGACTCCTAGAACAGAGAAAAAGACATTGGATGGGAATTGATCAAAATTGGAGCAAACAGAATCTGGAGCCGTTGCCCATGGCAACCAATCAGCTTCTATCCACTTCATTCCGTCAAGATTTGAAAATGAAAGAGAAGCTGATTGGCTGCCATGCACAGCTGCTCCAGATTTTGCCTGCTCCGGTTTCGATAGATCCCCCCCACTGTGCAGTGTCACCGGGGATGTGCGGCGTCAAAGGTGGAAATGTCCTTTAAGTAGGCTGTACTGATTAAAAGCACTGGACATATACATACTGTCTGGCCCTCTCGATCACAAAACTGGCTGAAAAACCTTTGCCAGGCAATACAGGTGACATGCATGCATTTCAACTGCGTGTATAGCTGTTTGCCTGGAGCTCAACTTTAATATGACAAAATGGAAAAAATCCAAATACTGGAATGATACTTACAATGACTTGCAGAATGGGATGTAATGACGTCTCCCCTTGCAAAATACTCTGTAATGTTTAAAAAATAGATGTTACATTTTCTGTCCAAGTACAGATAGAGGTGGTACTAGTAGAAAAAGTTACTGAAAAGGAAACAATAACCAATTATAAAACTACTCAAAGAAAGTTTTATTTGAACTTTTACCAACCTACGTTAAAGCAAATCAAGATGAACGGTAACATAATGGAAGCAAAGAAAGAAAAGACATAACCCATCCCAAGCGGAGAAATCATCTTATTCTGTAGAGTTACTTGGACATTACATGAACTGCTTTGCTCATCTCAAACTACAGCAATGCCTTACACCTAACTTCATTTGGGACGGCTGAAACAGAGTTCCAGAATGATCAAAGGCTGCACCTTCTACTGTTGGTATCTACTTTCCCCATGCTGTCAAGCAAACATGTTACTTTGTCCTGTGCAAAATACGTGTGTTACTAAACAGAGGAAAATGCATGGAATCACACCTGCTGTAAACAAGAACAAAAAAAAAAAAAAAAAAAGGAGGAGCTTGTTCAAACCATGTCTGTTGAACTGCGTTTTCCTGCACACCACCACACATGTATGGCGTGAAAAGTGCACATGAGAAACAATTGTTTTCATCATACATGTGCAGAAAAAAAAAAAACCCCAGCTCAACAGATATGGTGTGAATAAGCCGTAATAGCTAAACGTGACCTGTGCACTATGCAGGCAATGGCCTCCCAAGAGTAAACTTAATGTAGGGCTGTTACTGATTAAAATTTTTGTGTTCAATTAATCGACATTTTTTTTAATCGATTAATTATAACGCACATACAGATCCAACTACATTGGCCTATACACATACAGCACAGCAATGAAGTAATAAAATGAACTAGGATCACACTAATCCAGCACGTTATTAATCTCACGTGCCTCACTCAATATGGCCGCCGCTTGAGTGGGGCAATTCAGAATAATAACATGCTGGATTAGTGTGATCCTAGTTCATTTTATTACTTCATTGCTGTGCTGTATGTGTATAGGCCAATGCCTTGGCTGGCGCTCGTGCAGAAAGTTTAAAAAAAAATGTAATCGATCAAAATTATTAACGATTAATCGTTAATTTGCACAGCCCTATTAATGAGCATATAAACCAAAAAAATATATATTGCAGCTTACCCATCCTTAGATGTGGCGGCTGCAATCGTTTTCTTATTTTAGTCTTTTTCACCCCTATATTTTCACCTCGTGATCCAGCCAATATCATACTTCCTGTCTCAGGGTGCATCCACTCCATCTAGGAGCAATGGATCCACCCACCCGTGGACAGCAACATTGTCACCCGGTGGGGAGGGTAGCGTTAGCTGCACCATGTTGCAGTAGTGTGCGAGAATTAAAAAAAATAGCACAATGTACTTTTTTTTTTAGCACAGCTAACCGCATAGTACCTCCCTGTGCAGACTAAACTTCATAAAGTGTCACGCATGACATTTCAATAAAGTTCTAACAAAAAGAAAAAAAGGGAAACAGTGCAATGCAATTTTTTCCAAAGAAGTCGGTCTTCTGGCGGATCTGGGGTGAGGTGGTTGCGCAGATTCCTGTTGGCTTCTTTCTTTCCCTCCTGTTCTTTGATTCCTACGCCTCCTAGTCTCTATCATTTGTTTTGGTTCTGAACTTTCCTCCATCGCTGTGTTTCAGGGAGCCCATTGCTCTCTGCCATCTACTTTTTCTTTTACATGCGTTCCGGTGATGTCTGTGGGGAAGTGAGGAGGTTTCCATTTTTTTTTTTTCTGCACTTTTGCTTCCTTTCCAGGGTATTCTTTATGACAAATAAAATGTTCGCAAACAGTGGGGCTTTTTTTTTTAACACCATATTTAATATGGTTCCCAAATGTCTCCATGGTATGTGTTGAGTTCTGTAACAAGTGATGTTTGATTATTGTTAATGTGATGCCCTGATTATTGTGTATTTGACATTGGCCCACTGTTTGGTAAACTATGGACAACTGCCTTCCATTGTTTTTTCCCGTATGTAGATTTATAAATAATGAAAAAAACGCGCATTGCACAGCGCCTGCCAAGGTACATCAGCAGCCACACATTCAGTACAACTTGCTGGTGTGAATATAGACTATACTATGCACTTTGCGGCTTCATTTTGCATCTGCTGCAAAATAGCCCTGAGTTAGGGTCAAAAACTGCAAGTGTAAGGACTTCCCTTAAGTGATGCCTCTTGATCCGATCATCTTCTTCTTTACAGTAGTTTTCAGCTGTCCCTCCAGCGCTGGTGCCGGTCTCCGATCCAGCGTTGACTCCTCTCTTAACTGGCACTTCCTGTCCCAAGGAATCTGTACGGGTGCACGCTGCTGCATCAACTTACCCTGTCTCTCTCCTCTTCTCCCGGCTGAAGATCTGTACTGTGCATGCACCCGCCCAAAGATCCCTTGCGACCGCCCGAGAATGTTAAGATCTTTGAATGGGAGCATGCAGCGGCGACACGAGTAAGTTTTAACCCATTTGAAAAGTTTTTTTTTAAAATGTTTTTGCATATATCTACTGCTTGCTAGCAGTAGATATATGCAAAGGCAAGCAAGGCTTTAATGACCCTTTAAAAAGGAGAACTATGAGGTGAGTGAAAATCACTCATCCTCATAGTTAGAGCCGACGTGTGACAATGAAGCTGTCACACGTTGACTCTATAGATCAGGAAGTGAGCTAACACATACCATTGCTCGCTCACTTTCCGATCACATCCCTGCAGAGAGCAGTGACTGTCAGTCACCGCTCCCTGCAAGGATTCCCCCCTCTGATCCTCCAGCGCTGAGTGGGGGAACGAACAGGGGAGGGGGTGGACACCGCTGGCCTATGGATAGGCAGAGCCCGCTGTCAATCAGCCAGCTGGTTGGATCCAGACAGTATTATTGGGATCCGTCCCGGCTGTGGCGCTCTCAGTATATAGAGGGCAATAACCCGCTATATACTGAGCTTTGGGTCACAGGAGGATGTTAGTATATGTCCTCCTGTGACCGTAAAGAGAGCTATGGGGTAAAACGTTTACCCCATAGTTCTCTTTTAAGAAAGAAGCCTCTTTTTTTTTTTTTTAAGTGCACTCCACAGTTCAAGAATGTCAGACCTTGTTCTGGTCTACCAATGTATGGCCGTGCATTGCGAGACCTGATAAGATGTCAATAAACAAGGTCGACATTCATGAACCACGGAGTCCCAGTGATTTCTTCAGTCTCTTACTGGCAACAGAGGAGAGTCTGCACATCACAACACAGGAGGGGAATTGCTTTGGCAAGCAATTCTGGGTACACGCGTTTCTAGATTTTATTTTTATTCAACCTGAGGGGTGAACGGGAAAATTAGAACAGATTCTTCCATTAATCCTTACGAGTATTAATGGATGAATCCCCCACTGTTTGCATTGTATGCTGACAGCGGCCACCAGCTCTGTTGCTTTAACAATGTTGAAAAACAACTTTTGCTATTCTATTAACATGCTCAAGCTAACACAAAGCTCTCCCCACACATTACAATCTGACTTGAGCAATCTACTTAAAGGTTAGGTTCACACCTGGGCGACTCCAGACCGCACGGCAATCGTGCACAAAACCGTGTGTATTGCCACACGGTCATGAAGTCACCCACCGCAGCCGATCATACTGTGGGTGCCATTATTTTGATTGTACAAAGATACGGTCACATTGTAGCATGCATGGTGTCCCCAAGCATCTAATAACTGGGGTTCAATTTACATTAAGCTTAATAACAGTTCACATATGTAATTTAGAACACTAAAGAGCCCATTTACTGCAACCTATGCCCCTCAAACTGCCGAACTATTCGTCCTAGAGGACCAACCACATTTCCCGCAGTGATAAAGTTAAAAGAAGTGCCCTGGGACTTGTCTGAGCATGTCCTCCCGCAGCCACTCACCGCTATGGAGCCTTCGCTGAGTTTTGGCAGTGCCATGGTGGCTGTGTATCGGACAGTAGATCCGTCTATAAACCTGACAGCTGTCTATACAGCACGGCTCTGAGCGCGCCAGCCTAAGCCTGAATTCTGTGGCGCCAAATCACACATCTGGTCACGTTGTACCTTACAGTGACGTGACGCAGTAAGACTGCCTGTTTTCCGTCGGCCATCTTTAGTCCTGGCAGCGTCCGTAACCTAGCGTTTGGCTGTCGAGGCGGCGCACGCAATCCTCAATCAGCCACTAGCTGATTGAGGATTGTTTGCCATTAGTAATGATGGCGACAGCAGACTAGCACACCGGCCTTTGTTATAATGTACATATTGGGGCATCGCGGGACACTGAGCTGCGTCATACTGGCGCCAATTCAAACACGTGACTGCAACTACAAGAGCGAGGTGGAGAAGTGAGTGCAGCGGCCATCTGCCACAATGGTCACTAGCAGGGAAGCCTGAGTGTATCAGGAGCATGCTTTGGTTAGGCACTAACGGGGGCGGGGAAATGGTCGTAACTGCAGGCTTGTTCTAATTGGTGTGTTTTGTTGTAGAAAGACATTTAGTAAATAGGAGGTCTGTAGTAGTAGTTTGTTGCCGAGGAGTAGTTCTTTCCTGAGTTTGAAGACTGAGTAAAATTTTTTTGCTTTGAATAGAGCAGCGCAGTGTAAAGCTCTTATAAATATATTTTTTGTTGTCTCCTATTGGGGAGATTTTCCTTAATTTCCTGTCCTGGAGATGCAACAGGATAATAAAGAAAATCCATCCAAAATGAGAGGAATGTTCCCGTACACAGTTGTCCCTGGAACCCTCATCCCATGTTTTGGTGACAACTCTAAAGTTAGTTATAGAATCTGGTTTTGGAATGTTTGATTCTCTAATAGTTAAGCAAGAACCCCGGGCACAGAAAAAACGTAACTTTGCAGTGGGGTTACCCCTGCACTACAGGGGTTAAGGGAGAACTATGAGGTGAGTGATTTCTAGTCATCCTCATAATTTAATGCTGACCTGTGACAAAGAAGTTGTCACAGGTCGGCTCTATTGGGAAGTGAGCCGAAACATGCCGCCAATCTGCTCACTTCCCAATTCACACATGGACTCATACACACGCACACACCAGCTCAACCATAAATGCATACAAGCAGGTTGGAGTTGATGGACTTATGTCTTTATCGAGCCTCAAATACTATGTAACTATGGAGAAAAACACCCCATAGTTCTCTTTTAAGTGCTTGTCTTCTGTAGGGTACTCGGGGCTCTTTGACTTATCTGATCCTTGGTCCTGCATCGGTCAGCACTCGCTTCTCTCCCTCCGCTCCGGCTGTGAAATGTCCTTTGACGTCCTCACGTCTAATGCAGGTCGATGGATCTGCATAAGATGTGATGTCATCAGTGCTCCTTAGACTGCCAGAGCCCAGGGTAGAGGAGCCTGGAGGGACCGAGGATCAGCTGAGTAAAACCGCTTTCTGTCGGCCCCGTAGACATATATGAGCACTAAACCCTTGCAGTGCGGGGGTAGCCCCACCCCACTGCAAGGGAAAGTTTTTTTGCAAAGAGTTCTTTAATTGAACCAAATCGACAATCGATTTTGACCCTAGTGCTGAACAAAAAAAATCTACGTTAGAGGATGGAATTTTTTTTTTCTTGAACTAACAAAATTCTAGCAGTGAATGTGGTTTATGGGAAACCCCATTCCAAAATTGAACGTTAAAAATAGGGATACACCGATACCATTTTTTCCACACCGAGTACGAATACAGATACCTTTTTTTTTGCGTCATGTAACCAGTTTTTCTAAAACAATACAGACTAATGATTTTAGGACAGTAGCACCAGGGGCCGGTTAAAGCTGTGACCCTGGTAGTTCTACCACTGACTCCAAGCTGTAGAGGGACTACAAATTTCAGCACTACATTATACAGCAATGCAGAATACCATCAGCAATACATTATACAGCAATGCAGAATGGCACCAGCTGTAGAGGACTACAAATCCCAGCAATACATTGAGTGTTGGTCTCACCAGGCCTGCACGTAGGGTCTCGCCAGGGCTGTACGGAAAGATGTCACCATGGCCGCAGGCGGCAGGAAGAAGGAGCAGAAAATGTTCAGCCAGCACGGCGCTGTAAAAGACAGCTGCCACAGGTCCCTAGCAGGCTGCCCTGAAGTCTCCAGCTGCATGGGACCTCACGGCAGCCACTCCTGTTTAAAAACGTAAAGAGATGGTATCAGTGTTTAGTATCGGGGCATTTTTTCCAAGTTCGAAATCGATGTAAATTGGAAAAATACGGCATTATGGCCACTAGATGGAGCTGAGGATCATAGGAAATAAATGTCACTAAATAGATACAATGTTACAATTCAAAAGATCCTGGAGGATATAAATGTGTTCATTGATACTACGGGGATAGCCATGGTTACATTTATATGCTCATTTTTTTCCTGCGGTCTCTTAAAGGAGAACTATGTGGTCAGGGCTTTTCCCCATAGTTGTCTTAAGGGTCACGGGAGAACACAAACTAGCGTCCTCCCGTGACCCAAAGCTCAGTATCTCGCGGTATACTGAGTCGCCGCAGCCTACACGGATCCCGACAATACTGTCTGGATCCACCCAGATGTAGGATTGACAGCTTGCTCTGCCTATCCAGAGGCAGAGCCAGCTGTGCCCGCCCCCTCCCCCCCTTCGCCAGTCAGCGCTGGAGGATCGGGGAGGGGGGGGGTCCCTGCAGGCAGCCGTGAGTGACAGTCACGGCTCTCTGCAGGGATAGATCGAGAAGTGAGCGAGCGGCGTTATGTGTTCGCTCACTTCCCGATCTAATGAGCCGACCTGTGACAGTTTAATTGTCGCAGGTCGGCTCAGATTATGAGGCCGAGTGAAAATCACTCCCCTCATAATTCTTTAAGTTGTATGTTGTTATCAATATGAGTTTGGTTCCTATGATTCTTCACTTAGTCTAGTTGTCATAATGCAATATTTTCCCCAAGAACATTCAATTTTGCCCTGTTCTCACAGCAGCTGGTCAATTAACCAGGGACTCTTCTTTAACTGGGGACTACCCCACTATGGTTCTGCCTGGATCCGACCTTAGGCGGGCCTTGCCTGTTTCAGTGGAGGATGCATCTGTTTTTTTCCAACCCAATTGACTAGAGTTGGGAGCTCCTTTCGGGATTTAAAAAAAAATCTTTTGCAAGTCTTCCTGTTCTCCCTGCCTTGGTGTGATATTGTTGCACTCCTCTTTGAGGTAACCCCTGTATACTCTTCTAGAGTATTTTCGCTCTGGGGGGGTTTGTTCCTCCTCCGCTTTCTGAGCAACGTAGCTACACTTTCACCATTCTCCAGTTTGGCTGTCTGAGGTACTTCTGCGGTCTCTTTGCCCAAATTCCAGCTGTTTTTTGGATTCAGGCCGTTGTCTAAATCTTTTGATGTTAGGGGTTTTCCCTTTAGGCCTGCCCCTTCCTAGGCTCCCAGGTGGTTTTCCATGGTCCACTGCAGTATGGGCTAAGTAGCTTATCAGAGGTCCCAAACATAGATGCTATGCCTGAAGACTTGCAGGGTCCTACTACTACTTCGGGTGTACCTTGTAACTTGCAGAACTGCAGCTTTTTTACTAGGGCCATCCCCAGTTTAAGCTCCTAAAGAGCCCCCACCCCCCTCTTGAAGCTGGTTTAGTACTGCCTATTGGCATCTCCTTCCTCATGAATAGTAGCATTGTGCTGTTTGAGGAAGACTTCTTTATCGCTTGGGCTGCGTCTACTGTGATTGTCAGTGTATCACCTTAATCACGTTGTACCTTCTTTTCTGATGGGATGCTCCTATTTTTAGCACAGCGATGGAGCACCTTTCAAGATCTTGGTTCTTGGACAGACCTTGTTTTGATAACCCATTTAGCAGTGTGGACTGATTCAATGTTCATACAGCTTTTGGATCTTGTGCCTGCTGTTGGGTCACAGTGTTGTGCTGCGAAAATGGTTTGCAGCCTGCCCTTTGAGAAACATTTCTTTCTGAGCTGCCTTAGACACCCTCATATTGGGTGTCTCGGGGTGAGACTGCCCATTTACTTCAACAGAAGAAGCCTAGGATCTTGCTTAGCGACATTCATCTTCCCTCAATAGCCAGGAAATGTTCTTACGTTACACTCAGGCCTCAGCCTCCTAGAACAGTTCTGAGACACTGGACTTCCATATCTCCTAGGTCATCAACCTAGTCTGTTTTGCATGTGGAGGGCACCCCTGCTCCTAGAGTGGGGGTGTCTTTCAAGTTTTGCAGATATGTAGGCAACTAGCCTCTGTGGTGTCTAGGTATTGGTGGTGGTTTTGAGGGGTTACAAGATAACGATCTCCTCTCATCCTATCTCTTGGTTTGTGCATTTATTTACTTCTGCCTCTGTACAGGGTAGCATACCTATCAGCGTCCTGCAACTTTAGGAGGCATACCCCCACTTCCTTGACCTCAGGACACCAAAGATTTGTATCACGTTCTCTGGTCTCTCCTTTAAAACAACCAGATATGTCTTAGCTTTTTGCTATCAGGGGTTCATTATGGTTCTTGTGGACATCACGGATGCTTTTTAACATGTCACTTTTTTCTATAGCTTGGCAAGTCCTTTATTTACTGTGGGTCTCCAGCACCATTATTGATAGCCCTACTGTTTAGTCCCTTTAGGTAGTTCCCATTCTGGGATAATTGGACGAATTTGGGAGGGAAGGATGTTCAGTGTGGGTTAGTCATCTCCAGGTCTTGCTGAGGTTTGGGTGTTTTTCTTTCACATTCAGAAGTAGCTCTAGAACCGACTCGTCGCTTGGGTCTATGCTAATTCAGTTCAGGAGTTAACCTATTGCTAGTCTCTGCATGAGCATTTTGAAGCTGTAGTGGTCCCTTGCAGTGGTTGCATATGCCGGGTTCATTCCAGGCCCCTTCTTTGCTAAATTCTGTTCCTAGATAAGTCAGTTCAGATCCTGGACTGTCCCTTTCATCCAGCCCCAAGGCCCTAGTTGTTCTTTTCCTGACATCTCGGGATTCTCAATCTGGGCTCAGAAGACTTCGTACGATTTTTCCTTCCACGACTGATACCATTCATTGAAGTTGGCAAGGAGTCCTGGACACTTGTGCGTGCAGGGAACTTGGAGCCTGGAGAAATTTGGCTTCATAATCATTCTCTGTGTGCTTCGGTAATTTTGTTTTTGTTAATACAGCGCTGGAAACCCCGCTGGAGGTCATCTGTTCAGGATTCAGTCTGAAATGCTATGTTGCTCACTTCTGTTCCTAGGGGGGAACCAGTAGTCTTGCCATGGCAAGGAGGGATGTGGGCTCCTGTCCTGGAACTTGCTGGCTCATTCCTGCCCTGTCTGCTGCTTTCTCCTGAGCGTGGACAGTTGGCAGGACTACCTCAGTCGGTAGCACTCGGATTCAAGGTAAGTGCCTTTCTGAGGTATTTTAGGACCTGACATCCAGGCTATGTACTGGGCAGGCAGGTTGTTCCTCAAGGCCTCGTCATTGCTAGTTCAAGTGGCTGTGGTCTCCTGACCTGAACGAACTTCTGGTGGACGTTCCTTAGCCTCTCTCTGATCATCTGGGTATTCTGTCTCCGGGAACATTTTAGTTCTTTTTCAGCTTAGCCTGAATGCTATAGGATAGAGGCATATCTGATTTCATGATCCCCTTTGATGCTATTAGGTAGAAGGTCTCTCCCCGCAGGTCTTAATTTGCGTGTGGAGACTTCACTTCACTGAGACTAGGTGCTTTGGCCCTGGGTTATTCTTCATGGGGCATTCCTATCTTCCTGCGGATCGGCCTGGTTCATCGCTTGTTCCTTAGGATTTTTTTCAAGGCAGGTTTTTCACTCTGATGTTCTCATCCCAGAGGCCAGTGGCCCTTTCAGTTTTTCATTAGACTCAGTTAAGGGTAATGCTCACGGCTTCCCTCTATCCTTCCGTGACATCTGTAATTGACTAGTACACTGTCTTTGTACCATTCAGGGACATGCCTCTCTCACTCTCTGGGTTATGTTGTTGTTGCCAATTTTGTGAGGTCTCAATGTATTGATACTGGAGTACTGAACCTGACCTCCTCAGAACACTGAAGCAATGGGGCAGGATGCTCTGATGTCATTGACCTTATATGACCACATGGCTATATGTGCTCAATGACATCAGCACAAGCGTCCTGCTCCTTCGTTCATGTGCAGCTATGTGGCATGGAATGTTATTTTCCTGGTTGTTAGGATTGTATTCACTATCATTGTTCCCTGAATGTAATGAAAAGATCATTTTTTGTTTCATTTGAGTAATAATGGCACAAAAAAGGATCCCTACTAGAATTAGGTCCTACCATGGCCAGAATACTGGAAGGATTTTGTGTTCTGCCCCAGAACTGGCATTGATCATTCTAGCACCCAATGGATGCATCAGTTGTGTCAGTTATCAGCGGTCCTCACAGTTTCCCTTACAAAATGTACAAATATTTTTTAGCCCTGGTTTATTGTTGGTCTTTTGCTGTGAAATGCATTGAGCAGAAAGCATTTGCTTGGATATGAGAATGGCAGCCTGTGCTGAACGGTACAGGTTATTAAAATGGAGGGTAACATCTGGATTTGACTTAAAGTATATCTAGCAGAGATGATGATTTCCCCTTCAACAGTGCATAGCACTATAAGCCAGTGATTGAAGGCTCTTTAGTTTCTCAGTTATAGTTAGTATGCTTTGCAGTTGGCAGTAAAGGGGTAGATTAATTAGCAATTGGAAAGTAACTGTGTGCCAACTATACTATTATTTTTTAAATCTGCACCCTATCCAAAATGGAAAAAAAAAAAAAATCTCACTTGTGTTCTACCTATAATGACTTGTCCTTTGCCAATGTTGGGCCACAGGTTCTCTTATCTGCCTCCCTACCCGGCTGCACATCTTCACCCTTCCCTATACTCCCCTGGTACTTTGAGATATTGAGGGTGGGCAAGTGATTTGCCTACCTTGCTCTCATGTGACAGCACTTGCTAATTTTTCACATGGAGACAGTCCTTGTAGCTTACATAGGGCTCTCTCTCTCTCTTTCTTCACTACCAGAGGCAAAACACATTGGCAAAGCACAAGCTCACTTTAAAGTCTTGTTGGAACATTAAAGCACACCTGTCATTGGAGAAATATGTGGGCTGCTATTGACCCGGAAATGTGTGCAGATTAGGAAACCTTTTCAGCCAAACATCATTTTCAACAGGAGAAATCAGTAATGGCATTCTCCAAACTTCTCCCATGATAAGGTTCCGTTAATGTAGAATTCTGTAGCCAGTTAGTAGTAGTAGTAGCCACTAGTATAAGAGCCAGCAGACAGTTAAGAGGGCGGTGTGTTTTTTCCCACCAACTGATATTTGTTCGGTGCTCTGTTTTTCTAGCTGTTGGATTCCCCAGCTTTGAATTAATTGACATTGCTCCCAAATGCAGTGTCAACTGTATTGCATGTATTTCTTGGCTGACAATATTACATGCCTGTAACCTGTACTGGGAAGGTATTACAGATAACGATACTGACCTCTTTTTTCAGCAATTGCTAGTTCCTGACTGTCATGAACAATGCATAAACACTAAGAGCCTGTTCACACTATTCAGTGCATTCATGTCACAGTTCTGTGATATGAACACACTGGATCGCATAATCAAAGCCTCCCCGCGTTCTGGGGCGGGAGGCAACGAGGCAGTGCCATTCATTTAAAGGGCATCGCAGACAAGTCTTCTGCCCGCAGAGCAATTGCCTGCACCGGAAAGCATGGTACAACAATGCCCTGCGTTCCAGTGCAGTGCAATCCCAAAAAAACATGCATGCACTGTTTTTTGTGATCACACTGCACTGGAACGCAGGGCATTGCTGTACCACACTTGATGCGATCTAGTGCATTCATGTCATGGAACTGTGACATAAACACACTGGACGGTATGAACGGGCCCTAAACCAGAAGTATGCAGATTAGAAGCCCTGACGTTTCTGATCTGCATTGTTCCAGCTTAGTCATATTAAGATCTCCAGGCAACTAGAATTTTCAGAAGTACTGACAGCCTCCAAGTTTGTCTTCCAAATTTAAGTGGCTTTTGAATAAATGTTATTCTGAGCTTTAATCAATTATTCCAATGCAAAGAAAACTGACTAGTGCTGAAAGCAATGAGCTGCTGGGACATGGAGCTTTAATAGACTATTTATGGTATTCAAAATTTATTGACAAGTACATTTGACCTGCAGTTGGCTTCTTTTGACCTGCTTCAAGCAGGTTTTGCATTGCCATAGACTTGTATGGGATTGTAAAACCCATTTGAAGTTAACAAAAGCCTTTCGATACAGGCCTCTGGGCATGGCTCCTGCTTTGAATGTATTTCAGTGTTTTTGTTTGAGGTGGAACCCCTCAACTCCTCTTTTGTATGAATTATAAAGATTATTTTATACTAATATTTAAACATCTTCCACTGTACAGCCCAAGATTTAATTATATCCATGATGGAGCTCCCTGTGGTGGAATGGCAGGACTGTGCACATAGGAAGTGGACACAACTTCCACGATGTGAAAAAGCAAAGTTTTCTGCAACCTCAGGTCTTATGGAGAGCTTCATGGCTTGTTGGTCACAATTTCAGTAAGTAATTATCTATGATACGAAAAGATAGCTGTAATTGAGAACACATGCCAGTTTCACTTAACGGGTGACATAATGTTTTTAACATGCTTCTCTGACTTTTATGTGCTTGTTTAATAGCCGTGTATTACTTTTCTAATGAGTTTAATGGTTAAAGCTCATCGTTGGTTATTGAAAGTTCTTATTTGTATTCATTATTTGCTCCCTTGTCTGCTAGTTTCTTGAACAGCTGTTTCTGTCTGTAAATCAAAAGAGGATATATTTGTGTACGCATGGGCAGATTCAGAGATGATAGGGTAATATGCAGGTAGCATCAGGTGATTGGACACTAACCAGAGCTGTGAGGACCCTCCTATAACCCCTTCCACTTTCCAAGAATCATCAGTTTTTTGCTGTGGTCCTAAGGTGATGGATGTCTCCTCTCTCATTGCGGAGAGATATATGCTGTGTTAATTACCTTTTTCCTGTGATTCTTTAATCAGGCTTCTCTTGCTGCATCCAGTTACGGTGTCAACTTTGCAGATTCCAGATTGGTGCCCCGTGGCAGCAACTCTGGAAACCGTACCTGGACCTTGTTGACTGAAGATGCAGGGCTGGCCTGTAATGTTGCTTTGTGCACTTGATCCTACTTAGTCATGCACTTTGGCACAAGGTGCAGTAGGTTGAGTTAGCCACAGGTTGCTATTTAGGTTCAGGGCAGCGGCGTATCTGCACTAGTCCGACCCCGTTCCTGAAGATCCCTTTGGAGGTATGCTCATTCGAAGTGAATAAACCCGAGGGTTGGCAGATTCCCCGATTCTTGTCTGAAGCTACGGTGGGCGAGTTTTTGCCCCTATTCCTCTCCTCCCAAGTATTTCTGGTCCTAATCTCCGATGCTGATCCTATTCCTGTGTCCAGCCTCCTCCTTTCCCCACCCCCTTGGTATTCTCTGGCTCCAGCTTCTCTGCCCATAGTGCAATGAGATTTGAAAAGCACCCCATGAGTGTGGGCACAGCTGTTTACGCCTAATTGCCAGCTGGGGGGCCTTGGCCAGCGCAGTTGCGCAAGAGGTGACCTTCTTGCTCCATCTGGCTCACTGAGTTTGCACAGTGTGGTGGCGGCATTTTGATACCTACGTGGAAGCAAGGCAGCAGACTGTGCTGTCTGTGATTCAGTGACACCCGCAGCAGGCAAAAAGATCACTATCTGAGGACTGCTGCGGCCAATGTAGAACACTCATGAACCCTTCTTTTCCAATCTGAGTATCCTTTTTGGGGCACCTTATTATGGCGAACATTGAACGCAAAAGGATAGCCAACTCTAGTGCTGCCAGTAGGTGAGGGAGGGGGTTCCCTGAGGCTTCCCCCAGGGACTCTGCTCCAGATAATCGGTGTGTTAGCCCACTTTTAGACACACTGCCCTCTTCCATTGCATCTATTGCCCATCAGGGGTGCTGCACTCTTGGGGCTTCTTTGACATTTGTCAAGGGTCAGATATCTGCTATAATTAATGAGGCCAGATGCAGAGGGTGCAAATGTAATCTCCCTTCTCCTTCCTCTTCCAACTCCTTCACAGATGCGGCCATGGCTTATGGCCCTTATGTCGGATAAATGGGGAGGAGGAGTGTGTATATGGGTAAGTGCTTACCTCCTCAGATTCCTAGGTCTCCTCACAGGAGGATCTGCCTTTGGCGAGCCTGTATCAAAAGCTGCGTGACACCATTTTAGTGTTAATTAACAAGGTAAGAGAGTATCTAGCCATTGACCCACCTGTGCAGGATCCCAAGAAGAAAAAGAAGCCCACTAAGGCCTTTCTGACACATTCTCTGGCACAGGATGTACTTTATGGGAATTGGCAGCATCCTGAAACAGTACATATTCAGCTTTCTGAGTGGTGCCAGAAGTCGATGCTGCTATGTCATACCTTTGCCGGTCCCTGACTGTATTGGTAGAGGATGTCCCAGCCTCTAAAAGACACTGATGGGAATATGTCAGGAAGGAACTGCAAGTACAGTATTCTCCAATCATGTTGTAACAATCAGACAATGCTCTTATATTACAGAAAACATTCACAGCGTTTGCCTCAAAAAGCTATTACAACACGAAGATTCAAACAGTCTAAAATCGAACAATGCTGGGATTCCCCTAAAATCAACTAAAATGTCACATATCTAATCATGGCAGTGACAGACACTTACAAAGTACACTGGCCTGAAAATGAATCAGGGTTAACATAACTTTGCCATTATGTAGCTCGTAATCGGCTATCGACCATAATTGCAGCTTGAAGTCACTCGTTTGTCACAAAGAAGCTGTTACTGTGAAGCTCCCTAGGTAAACCTCCCCTCCCTGCATGACGTCCTAAGTGATGGCTAGCTATTCATTTATAATTACCAAGGCACAGCAATAAATGTGCAAATCAGAAACAGTATGAATCATTTTATACACAGTAAGAAAAACACCAACATTGTTCACTAATGCATTTTGTTGCCAGGTTGTGAGGGTAATGTAGAGATGGCCTGTATATATTACATAGGCAAGACTGTGTTGGGTAGAAGAATTAAGCTTGCATACTGTTAAATTACTCATGTGTGCCAGATTAACTCCCAGCATCCTTAGCAGCATCAGTTCCTAAAGGGTTTTATCAGAAATGTCACCACTGCTTCTGAACCCTTTGTGTTCAAGGAATTCCATCAACTCTGGATCTGTCTCATCTCGCCAAGCCTAGGAGCTGTAAATTCATAATTCACCTGCAGTTATAAGCCCTCTGTGGCTTAAGAGAAGGATACAGCAGGGCATACCCAATTACTTTCATTTATCCTGGGAAATCCTGCAGAAGATATCTCTGTGAGTGCCCAGACAAGTTTCTTATCTGTGGAGTCTGCATCATGGAAAGGAATTGTAGACCTCTTTCACTTGCTTGTCAGTACACGCTTGTTAAAAGCTCGAGATTGTGGCAGCGGATGGAGTTCACAGTTGGGTGAAAAAAAGTAACCACGTCTCAGTAATAGGATTTTTCGGTGACAGGCTCACTAGACTGAGGTACCAGTTCATATTGTAGAAGATGTTCATTGTGAAGTGTGAGAGAGGGTCAGAAGGCTGGCAGAAGTGTAAAGCCTGCAAGAGACAAATTCTCTGCCGGTTTGATCTCCGATCGGCCGAACTGCGCTTTACTCTAGAGCTACAGCCTTGCAATTTTAAATTGTTAGATAAAGAGCCAGTAATCCACTCTGTAATGGAGATTGACTTATACAGGTCAGTACGTTTCCATATAGAGCTCACAATCATTTTTATCTGTCACAAATAGATCAAGAACAAAATCGGCTGAGTCTTGAATTAAGAGGAGTATAAAGTGTTCTTTTCTATTCAGTACACAGTGGGGAGGAATGATTTTTAGATGCCATGAAGAACAGCCTTTATAAATGGTAATGCTTATGTCAAAGTCAAGCAGAGGGGATTGGGTTTGCAAAGAGTGGGGGACTGAATATGTGTATGCACACAGTGCAAGCACCTGTCTTTAATTTCTCTCCACAGGCAGGAAGAAGAGGAGTTGCTAGAAAGGCTGTGTTGTGATCTAAGTGTTGGAAAAGAACCTCGTGCTGTGCTATTCTACAAGGAAGAGGGAAATAAGAGGTTTGGAAGAAAACAGTACACAGCTGCAGCAGTTTTATATTCCAAGGTACAAGCTGCAGAAACTGGGCACAAGTCTGAAATCTTTCTTTGCTAATAAGCTGTTGACCCCAGACTGCATTGTGCTGTATAATGAGGCATGCTGTAACTCAAACCAGGTGTATTCCGTAGTATGAAATTGTTTTGTCCGGGCACATTTTATGCTTTAAAGCAGTGGTTCTCAATCTGTGTAACCGGAGGACCCACATTTGTCCTTGGTCATTAAGTCGTGGCCCAAGTTGCACTGCAATTAAATGCACGGCTTTGCGATACTGCACGTTCCAATGCGGGCAATAGAACTGTGAGTGGGAGGTGCATTTGGGGTGCCATTCAAATGAATGGCAATGTACTTCTCCCATCAAAATGCGTGGTAGGTGCAATTGTGAAGTACAGTGCGTTAATCGCATGGGACTGTGCAATTAACACACTGTTCTAGTCTGAATTGACCCTCAAAAACACACAACCACAGACACAATCTCATACACACACATACACACTCCAAAAAAAAAAGTTTGTTCTTTTTTTAAGATCCACCCAATCTCACTACCTTATGAGAACTGTTGTGAATCCTTGGCCTGGGGTCCGGTGTGGGCTGCTGTGCTGTGATGTAGCTCCATCCATATGTGCAGTGCTTGTACAGCTCCCTTGCACACCCTGTAGAGGTGCTGAGAGTCAGTAGGTTACATCACACCAGTCCAGGCACCTCTACAGGACATGCGAGGGAGCTGTACAAGCACTGCACGTATGGATGGAGCCCACCCCACCTCAAGCTGACACCCAGCACCGGGCAGCATATTTTGAATGGCTGCTTGGCGCAAGAACTGACAGTGCTGTGCTAGGGGGAGACTCACCTAGAAAAGTGGAAGGCACATGGGGACCCACTGAACACGGGGTCGTGACCCACTTTTGGGTCTCGACCCACCAGTTGAGAACCAAGGCTTAAAAATATCTTTGTCACAAAAATAAAAACTTCTGTACAAGATCTGATACCTGGAGGCGTCTACAAATATTTGCTGCAGCTTCCAAGCCCCACGGTTACATCCAAATGCTGGACAGTTCTGACAGCTAAAGCTTGGACACTTCCTATTAGTGTCAAAGCCTGCCTGCTCATTCCTACCTTCTGCACATTCCCATTGGCCCGTCTCTGTGAAGGACTACTTTACTGGTATTTAATAGTATGTTGAAGGCAGGAAATCGGTGGACAGGCTTTGCTTGGTGCTTAAAGGAGAACTATGGGGTAACCTTTTTATCCCATAGTTCTCTTTAGGGGTCACAGGAGGACATATACTAGCATCCTCCCGTGACTCAAAGTTCGGGCTATAGCTTGCTATATACGGAGAGCGCTGCAGCCGGGACGGATCCCGACAATACTGTCGAGATCCACCCAGCTGCCTGATTGACCACGGGCTCTGCCTATCTAGAGGCAGAGACAGCTGTACCCGTCCCCTCCCCTGTCCGTTCCTCCAGTCAATGCTGAAGGAGAGGGGAGGGGGAACCCCTGCTGGGGAAGTGACTGACAGTCACCGATTCTGCAGGGAGATGATCGGGAAGTGTGCGAGAGACGATATGTGTTCACTCACTTCCCCATCAATAGAGCCGACGTGTGACAGTTTCATTGTCACACGTCGGCTCTTATGAGGATGAGTGGAAATCACTTACCTCATAGTTCTCCCTTAAAGGCTGCTGCAGGTATGTGCAACTCTAGGTGCCTGCGCTTTATTCCAGACAGATTAGCTTTAAAGGAGAACTATGAGGTGAGTTCTTTTCACTCACCTCATAGTTCTAGCTGACCTGTGACAATGAGACTGTCACAGGTCGGCTTAGTAGATCCGGAGGTGAGCGAACACATACCGGCGTTCGCTCACCTCTCGATCCAGTCACGGCTCTCTGCCATGACAGGGGAGGGGCTGGATTCCCCCCTCCCCTGTCGCTGACTGGCGGAACGGACGGGGGAGGGTACAGCTGGCTCTGCCTCTAGATAGGCAGAGCCAGCTGTCAGTCACGCAGCTGTGCGGATCCAGACATAATTGTCGGGATCCGTTTCAGCTGCGGCGTCTCAGTATACCGCGAGCTATAGCTCACGGTATACTGAGCCTAGGGTGACGGGAGGACGCTAGTTTGTGTCCTCCCGTTACCCTAAGGAGAACTATGGGGAAAAGCCTTAACCCCATAGTTCTCCTTGAACAATATCTTTACCTCCTATAACGATACTGATCATCTAAAAGTATTCTAGTTTATCTTCAATATTTGATCAGTAAAAAAAAAATTTCTCATTAAGTTATAGGTTTCCAGTTATAGTGTTCTGTCATTGCTAATTTGTTTAATAGTCTAACTAACAGATACAGCTGGTTCTTCTCTTCAGAGAGAGAGAGAGAGAGGGATATACTGACCTAAAGCAGATTTCTGCACAAAGTATAATGGAGGTCATAGACAAGCAGATTTCTCCCCAAAAATAATGGGCAGGGAAATAACTGCCCAGAATGAAGCGAGAAACTGAAGCACCAGGAATAAAGTGTTTCCACTTCCATCTAGTGACCTGGTCCTCCATATAGATTATATGGTTGGCCAGTACAGTATATCGTAGAGCATTGCCAACAGAGAATTGGTGAGAAACCACCCAGTCTCAGGCTGGGTGATCAGCCTAAATATATTCCTGACATGAATGCCCATAATGCTTTGCATGATGAAAACTCGAGTGCTTCAGAACTTTGTTATTACAAGTGAATATTAATGTTTTGTCATATCTAAAGGTGCCCATACACCTGCCGATTATCATATACGATAATCGCGGGTGATCGTACGATAATCAGCAGGTGTATGGGCTGCGTGCGACCGCATCTACTGTACGGTCGCACAACTTTCGAAAATCGTACGATTTTCGGCGGGTTGGTAGCGTACGCAGAAGACGAAAGGCGCACGGCTGGTGTGCGCAAGCGCACACTGCCCGCTCAGCATTGCAATCATCGGCAAGCCCCCCCTTCAGCGGGGAGGGCTTGTGATGATCGCAAGTACGATCTGCCTGTCCAAGATGGGCAGGCCGTACGAAATTTTTATGACCTTACAACCATCGCACAACGAAAGTCGGGAGGGTATCAGCATCTTCCTCCCTGATCTCCCTCCGTACTGTGAATGCGGAAGTGATGTGTAATACATCACTTCTGCATTCACCTGTCAGTCCTCTGGCTGCTATTCTCAGAGAGTAGAAGCAGATGAAGCAAATCTCTGCTTCATCAGCTTCTTTGGGGGTCCCCAGGTGACATTAGGGGTCTTACAGACCCCTAATGTCTCCATAAAGAGTGTGTACCTGTGCTATCACATAGGGGAATTGTTACCCCCCTATGTGATAGCAATAACATTAAGTGTATAAAAAAGGAAAAAAAATAATAAAAGTCACATATAAAAAAAATAAATGTATAAGTCCCCCCCCACCCCACCCCCATGTTTACGTACAAATAGACGTAAATACGCACAAGATGCCCCAGCGCGCGAAAACGACAATTGTGCTACACATGTTACATATCACCGCGAACGCCGGAGTGAGAGCAATCATTTTAGGGCCATCAATCACTGATAAAACTAAACTGATGAGCGGTGAAAGCTTTTAAAGCATCGCCAATTTTGGGTATTGTTTTTTTTTTTTTGGTTTAACGCACGCGCAATTTTAAGGCTTGACATGTTTGGTGTCTTTTTACCCGATGTGACCCCGCCTTTTATATGTTGCCAAAAAATTGGGTAATAATAAATGTTTTTTAATTTAGGGGGAACTTTTTTTTTTTAATTCGGTAATTTTTACTTAATATAAGAAATAAAAACCCCAGTGGTGATTAAATACCACCAAAAGAAAGCTCTATCTGTCCCCAAAAATGGTATAAAATTTATTTCAGTACAGCGTTGCATGACGGAATAAATGTCAGTCAAAGTACTGCAGCGCGTTTTAACACCGCGGTCTTCAAGTGGTTAAAGACCTTTACTTTTGTTGTTAAGAATGTCTTTCAGTGTCTCCTGGTACCTTTGTTCACTCTGAGTATGTGTCCTGCAGGCTATCTCCCATGGCAGCCCTGGCACCGAGGAGATTGCAATATGCTTTGCCAATCGATCAGCAGTTCTTTTTCACCTTGGCCATTACTCAGTGAGTATTGTTTACATCTGTGCTGTCAGTCTTGAGGTTTGTTCCTAAGCTAGAGTTCAATGTAAATCATCATTTCGGTGAACCCCATGCTGTAGGTCTCAGTTTTTCTTAGTCCTGTCATTTTTCTTATTTCGTCTATAACACATGCTGTTGTACACTGTGATGTCTCCCTCATTCATCTGTCATTTCTCCAGCCGAGCCTTTCAGCACACTAACTATTTTTTAATTATGAAGACTTTCAGAAGTATATAAATAGCTTGTTCACAAACTGCAGGTAGCATGGTAATTGAATTCTTTTTCCAATGAACTTTTCTACTTAAAGGTGCCATTCCCGTGACAAAGTAGACGGCTTAATTGTGGGCAACTTACTGTTCCGCTTCCCAAATGCATTAGCTACTATATCTGATCTAGAACAGCTGGATGTAATTTTGTGCAAATTGACTTTATGGATCCTTATAATGCTCCACAATTATTATGTCCCCCGGGTTAAAGAAGGATTGCAATAAAAATATTGTTTGCTCTGCATGAAAAACATTGGATAACTTTCCAGTTATGTGAGGTAAAGGAATGTACTTTCAAAATATCCATACATCTATATTCCTTTTTTTTCCATTGAGGGACACAAAGTCATTCACCTTTGGGTTATATTGCTATCTACGGGAGGATAGGATCCTGACAAACATAAAAAATTGGAGGTCAACCAAGGATAACCCCTCCTACTGCAAGCATGCCTTAGTTTTTTCTAATTGTCCTAGGAGGATGGACGTCCTTCTCTCCAGCTCTGCTATGTGGAAGACTAACCTATCTTTTAGGGATGTCCCGATACCAATACTAGTATCGGTATCTGGGCCGATAAAGGGCATTTCTCGTGAAAATGCCCTAAAACTAAAGGCCGATACCGGCCCTTTTCAATTTTTGAAGTTTGGCTGCCTGAGTTCCGGCGCTTGCTGGGGACGTCAGGCAGCCTGCTGGGGATCTCAGACAGGGCTTTTGACAGTGCCTGTCCGGCCCCACATCTCCTCCATTCCGCAGAGACAGGAACAGCAAAGGACAAAACCTGGTGAGACCTGCACGCAGCCTTGTATAATCATGGATTGATGGGATCAATAATTATACAGCAATAGAGAGTGGTAACCAACTATAGAGGACTACAAATCTCAGCAATCCATGATTGCTGGTTGTTATTCTCCCTTGCTGAATAATCATGGATTGCTCAGATTTGTGGTCCTCTATAGCTGGTTACCATTCTCCATTGCTGACTTGCATGGATTGAGTTACAGCTCTTCATAATTTTAAAGTAACTCCCCTGAAAGTCAATAGTCTGTATTGTTTTAGAAAAAATGTCACAAGTCCTTTTAAGAAAAAGTATTGGTAAGCAAGTACCTGAGGGAAAGTGTGTGTATGTGTGTGTCGAAGGAGCCACCAAAATAACCTGGGTCATCACTAATTTCTCTAGTGGTTTTGAACTTCAGCTGGCCTATTAGCATTAACCAACCTCTTCTAGTGCCCACAAAGCTGATATCCACTCCAAAAGTATAATGCTGAAAAACCTTTTACTATTCTTCACACTGGGGAGAGAGGGTATAGGGATCCTAGACATCCAGGGTATAACAGACACAGACTCCAGACTTACCAGACCAACTCAGTAATTCAGTGTAGATCCATTTGTAGCATAATTGAGTAGGTATTTGAGCTGCCGATGAGCAGGGATGAATACAGATCCTCAACAGCAGAGACACCAGACTTGCTCCTGAGGTCCACTATGTTACAGGCACCTCCAGCAGCCATCAACGTCCCTGGTCCTCCTCCTCTAACAACAGCAGACCTCCTCCAAAACCTGAGGCCCAGGGAAATACTTCCTGCACTCCAGCATCCCCACCCCCAAGTCTCAGGCCTAGCCTGGGGGGGCAGGCTTGACAACACCCCAACCTGGACTAATCCAGGGCTGGTCCCGAACTCCGCACATAGAAAATCCCTGGAGTATATGTACCCTATCCTAGCATGCAACACCGGTTGAGAGAACCCCAGTGATTGGCTGGTGCACTGTTCATACACTTACAGTGTCCCCCATTGGATGTCCCATACTACAATAGAGTCACACTCCACCCAGGTAGGGTACAGTCAATGCCAGGACACCTGATGCCGCCCCCAGAGCATGATGCTGCCACCACTATGCTTCGCTGTTGGGATGGTATTGGGCAAGTGATGAGCGGCACCTGGTTTCCTCCAGACATAACATTTAAGGTGCCCATACACCTTGCGATTATCGTACAATATTCGTGGGAAATCCCGCGATCGTACGATAATCGCAAGGTGTATGGAAGGCGTGCAACCGTTTTTACTGTACGGTCGCACGTCTTTTGTCGAACCAGCATGCTAGAAAATCCGCAGAGAATCATACAATTGTCAGCAGGTTTCTAGCCTGCTCGTTTAACAACTGTGGAACGGTCCGGTGTGCACACGCGCACACTGCCCGTTCAGCATTGTGCTCATCGGGGCGGGCTTTCGATGATCGCAAGCACAATCTGCCTGTCCAAGATGGGCAGATCGTACGAGCTTTTAATTATCTTACGACCATCGTAAGACAAAAGTCTTGCGATGGTCGTAAGATGTATGGGCACCTTTAGAATTGAGGCCAAATAGTTCAATCTTGGTTTCATCAGACCATAGAATCTGGCTTCTCGCAGTCTGAGAGTCCTTCAGATGTTTTTTTTTTTTGCAAACTCCAAGCAGGCTTTCATGTGCTTTGCACCGAGGAGAGGCTTCTGTCTAGCCAGTCTGCCAAAAAAGTTAAGATCGATGGAGGGCTGCAGTGATAATGTCCTTCTGGAACTTTGTTACATCTCCACACAGGATCTCTGGAGCTCAGTCAGAGTGACCATTGGGTTCTTAGTCACCTCTCTTACTAAGTCCCTTCTCCGCCAATTGCTCAGTTTGGCCGAGCGTGCAGATCTTGGAAGAGTCCTGGTTGTGCAAAACTTCCATTTGAGAATTATGGAGGCCACTGTGCTCTTGAGAACCTCCAGTGCAGCAGAAATTTTTTTGTAGCCTTCCCCAGATCTGTGCCTTGCAATAACCCTGTCTTTCAGGTATGCAGGCAGTTCCTTTGGCCTCATGGCTTTTGCTCTGATACAGTATGCCAGTATGCATTGTCAGTTGTGAGGCCTTCTAAAGAGGGGTGTGTGCCTTTTCCAAATCATGTCCAATCAATTTATTTTAGCACAGGGTGACTCCAGCCTAGGTGTGGAAACATCTCAACAACCATCAAGAGAAATGGGAGGTAACTGAGCTAAATTTCAAGTGTTATTGCAAAGGGTCTGAATACTTATGCCAAGTGATATTTCTATTTTTCCTTCATTTGCAAACAATTCTAAATTCTGTTTTCACTTTGTCATTATGGGGTACTGAGTGTAGATTAATGAGAAAAAAAAAGAATTCAAACAACTGCAACTAAATTAATATTAACTAACTAATTAAATATTAATTTCTCGATTAATCGTTAAACTTTTTGATCGATTTTAAATTATTTTGATCGCCAATGAAAACACTCGCCTCTCCGCCGGCTTCCAGGAGTCCCGTCGGCGATCCGGTGACGTCACGGACATCGGCGTCACCGGACTCCTCCCCCCTTCCCCAAGTGGCTCCATCGGCTAACGAAGGGAAGGGGGGAGAAGTCCGGTGACGTCAATGTCCGTGACGGCTAACGAAGGGAAGGGGGGAGGAGCCCGGTGACGTCGATATCTATGACGGCTAATGAAGGGAAGGGGGGGAGTCCGGTGACGTCAATGTCCGTGACGGCTAACGAAGGGAAGGGGGGAGGAGCCCGGTGACGTCGATGTCCGTGACCGCTAACGAAGGGAAGGGGGGAGGAATCCTGTTGACGTTGATGTCCGTGACGGCTAACGAAGGGAAAGGGGGAGGAGTCCGGTGACGTTGCTGTCCGTGACGGCTAACGAAGGGAAGGGGGGAGAACACGAAAATGTTAATCATTACCAGCCCTAATATATATATATATATATCTTGACTATAGGTCCCATATACTTGATTTCAAGGTACAAAAACTGTAGGTGGGCTTTAGAAACTCTTATATATGTTTATCATATGTTAAAGTACGGGTAGGAGTAATGCTCCAGGCCCTCTTTTTCCCATGCATCCCCTCTCCATTCTTGGAAAAATCCACTTACCTACACAATAATGGGCCTATATGATGAAAAAATGTTGTGTTTAATTATTTCATATTGTGTGAGCCTGTGCAGGGTTCCTTGAGGACTTGGAGGTTAAATATGTGTACAATGTATGAATAATATCTTTTCTTTCTTAAATGGTTTTATATTGAAAATGTCTTTAATAAATTAGAAATAATAAAGAAAGCTAATTATGTAACTTCTATAAAGTGATAAATGTGTTTTGAAAACAATGTGATACAGTGTATATTTATCTATCTATCTATCTATCTATCTGTAGATATAGATAGAGATATATATATATAAAATTATGCATGCCACAGCCCTGGTTGCTGGTTAGTGTGTACTGTGATTTCAAGTTGACTGCATTAAACCTATTAAGCAGAATAAACTCTGTGTGTGGCTCTCAGGGAAGAGACTAAAAGAAAGGACAGAAAACACTTTGGGAATGTGACCGTGATGTTTTCTTCCCTTGGGGGCTTCTTTGTCAGGAATGCTTGGAAGACATCGATCGTGCACAAGAGCATGGTTATCCTGAACGACTAAAGAGCAAAATACTTCAGCGGCAGGCAGAGTGTTTGCAAAAGCTGAAACAATCTGGCTCCTCCGGCATTCGTCTTCCCAGCACAGAAAGTATTAGCCTGACTGATCCCACAAGGGAGCTTGCTGAAGATGTGGTATGTGACAAACTACAAGAGCTGAAGTTAGACAGAAACCTGCAGCTAACTAATGCTTCCAGCTCCCTGACCATGCAGTTCAGCAGTCCCAAAGGTCGACACTTGGTGGCTTCTCAAAACATTGCACATGGAGAGCTCTTGATAAGGGAAGAAGCCTATGTCAGTGTGATTATTCCTGACAGAAAGCCAATCAGCAGTAAAGCCACATGGGACATCAGTATAACTAACTGTGATCTTTACTGTCACCACTGCCTACAAAGGATTTTGGCCTCCCTACCTTGTAACCAGTGCAGTTTTTCTAGATATTGTAGCCCTAACTGCAGAGATGAGGCCTGGAAGGGGTATCACTATGCTGAATGCTCCTTGGGGAGCCAACTTCTTACTTTAGGTGTGTTCTGCCACACAGCACTGAGGGCAGTTCTGCTTGCTGGCCTTAGACATGTTTCTGAGGTCTTCCACCAGGCATTAGTTGTTAAGACTAAAGCTCAAGACAATTTAAGGGAGGCAGCTTCTAATGAGCTGTATTGTAGCAACTATAAATCTTTATTCAATCTTCAAGCACACCCTGAACATCATAAAGACGAGCATAAGTTTCTCTTTGGACTCACAAGTGCAGCTTTATGTAAGAAATTATGCCTCAGCCTCCTGAAAACAAACAGGGAAGCATCAAGTCTAAATGCAGAGGGAACAACAGAAAAAGAACAATCGGGCATGTACATCATTGGATCAGCTATACTCCTTCACATGCTCCAGCTCCATTGCAATGCTCAAGCAGTGACTGTCCTCCAGCAAGCATACGAAGGTAATTATTGGGAAGTAATTAATTGATGTTGATATTTGCCAGGTCTCTTGAATACAAAGACAGCAATAGTATTCTATAAGCTGCAATTAATTGAAATTTGTAATAGTTTTAAAGAAAGCATGTTACACATTATGGGAGGTCAGTGTTGTAAAGCAGGCTAAAATTCTGTAGAATTTGTTTCTACCTACTTTTACTTTGTTTCTAGATACCACACTTTAAAAGTTCAGGTTGATGTAATGAGCAGAGGAAAACCAGAGTTCCTTGAGCCTTTTGTTTTTAGCCACACACCGTAAACTCTTTTATTTTACAATCTCTTTCAGATTTACTAACAACTATTGAGTTTGAGGGCCCATCTGACTAGATTTAAATTGATTGTTTAGGTAGGCCCATGCACTTAATTTTTGGAAAGTCTGGTTTGAGCCGGCGGTGCGGGGAGGAGAGCTCTGTCTATTTTGACAGCTGACTCCTCCCCCTCATCGCCGGTTTGGGCTCCTTTCACAGTGCACAGTTGCCTCGGCCCCCACACTGCTCTCCATCCTGATCGGTCAGAGGAGCCTGAGGGGAGCGGTGCGGGAGGAGAGCCTGGCCTCCTGTGACATCGCGGCTCACATCACTCTCCTCCGCACCACTCGGCCTCCTGACAGTTTCTTTGCAGTGAAGACACAGAGCAGCGCACAGCGGGGAGGAGAGAAACTAGTCATGCACCGCAATTTTGGCCGAAAGATGGGACTTTCGGGATTTTGCCAAAAATTCCATTTTCGGATGATATGTTTAGACATCCGAAATTTCGGTGCATCCCTAGATATATGTTGCAAGGTGGCAAATATGTATGTTGCAAGGTGTCTCATTTTGTAACATTGGTGCAAATATACACACAGATACACAATGGAATAATAACACATTTTAAACCTAACGTTGTGTTTTCATTTCTAGAGCCTGCTGCCTCACTAGTGGAAAGCAACAAGTTCTCACGTCTTGCTACTGCAATTTTCCCAGTTCTAAGCTTGTTAAACCATTCATGTGAACCAAACACAAGTGTATCCTTTCAAGGCAGATATGCAATGGTTAGAGCTTGCAAAACAATCACAAGAGGGGAGGAAGTGGTCCACTGCTATGGTGAGCTTCTTTAATGTAATATTGGACAAAATCACCAAAGCAATCAAAATTCTTAAAGTTTCCATTTGTGCATTTTACACCATTAAGCTGTAAAGTGCTGTTGTATCACAGTTATTCATGGCTGCCGGAAACTGTATACCTTGTCTTATATAAATCCTTTGTATCAGCAAATGACTAAGCATTCGCAAGACCTAACAAAAAATCCTTTAGTTAGAGCAACTAAAAAAAAATCATCGTCAAATAATTCAGATCTAATGGTTTTTTTTCTCGTATTACAGTGGTTATTGCTGTTGCTATTTTAGTTCCCTAGTGGCATTTTTGGGAGTTTCTAGTGGAATGCATATACCAACTTTTCTCTAAACAGGTGCTTGGGCATTTCACAGAGAAATGCTGACTGTATCACCAGGTCGATGAGGCAAAGATTTCAGTTACTGGGACCGGCGTGGTTGTCTCCCCTGATGGATCCACACCAGCCGCTGATCTTTCCTCTGATCACTGGACCCGGAAGTGATATGCATTACATTACTTCCGGTGTCACTGTGCACATTCTCCGGCTCCTAGAGCCAGAAGAAGAAGCTGGTGAAGCAGATGTCTGCTTCACCAGCTTCTTTGGGGTCCCTAGGTGAATCACTATCCAAATCCTGCCGCCTTCACCTTTGTAACATCTCCAAAATACGCAACGTCCTCACCAATGAAACCGCAAAATTACTCATCCACTCACTTGTTATCTCTCGTCTTGACTATTGCAACTCCCTCCTCATCGGCTTACCTCTAGACAGGCTATCCCCCCTTCAGTCTATCATGAATGCAGCTGCTAGACTCATTCACCTAATCAACAGCTCAGTGTCTGCAACCCTCCTCTGCCAATCCCTGCACTGGTTTCCTATCGCCCAAAGGATAACATTCAAAATATTAACAACCTCTTACAAAGCCATCCGCAACTCTGCCCCCAGCTATATCTCAAACCTTGTCTCAAAGTATCATCCTAACCGTCCCCCTCCGCTCTTCAAAAGACCTTCTGCTTTCCAGCTCCCTTATCAACTCCTCCCATGCTCACCTCCAGGACTTTACTAGAATCTCTCCCATCCTATGGAACGCTCTACACCAACCTATCTGTCTTTCTCCCACTCTACTGCCTTTAGGCGATCACTTAAGACTCATCTCTTCAGGGAAGCCTATCCCACCTCAACCTGACCACTGAACTATCACCTTCTCAAACAATTCATCCCCACACAGCTACCTCCTCATGTATCACTTCCTGCTCCCTTTTAGATTGTAAGCCCTCAGGGGCAGGGCCCTCCTTACCATCTTGTCTTGAATTGTATTGTGATTATAATGTCTTCCTTATATTGTAAAGCGCTGCACAAACTGTTGGCGCTATATAAATCCTGTATAATAATAATAATTAGGGGTCTGAAAGACCTCTGATGTCTCCATAAAGAGGATCTGTCACATTATATTTGCTATTACATAGGGTGCTTGTTAGCCCCCTGTGTGATAACAATAAAGTAGAGTGTAAAAAAAAAAAATTGTAAAAATTAAAGTGATAGATAAAAAAAAAAATAAAGAATGCAAAAAAGACAAGTTACATATTGTCGCGAGCGTCGGAGTGAGAGCAATAATTCTAGGGCCAACATTACATTACTTCCGGTGTCACTGTGCACATTCTCCGGCTCCTAGAGCCAGAAGAAGAAGCTGGTGAAGCAGATGTCTGCTTCACCAGCTTCTTTGGGGTCCCTAGGTGAATCACTATCCAAATCCTGCCGCCTTCACCTTTGTAACATCTCCAAAATACGCAACGTCCTCACCAATGAAACCGCAAAATTACTCATCCACTCACTTGTTATCTCTCGTCTTGACTATTGCAACTCCCTCCTCATCGGCTTACCTCTAGACAGGCTATCCCCCCTTCAGTCTATCATGAATGCAGCTGCTAGACTCATTCACCTAATCAACAGCTCAGTGTCTGCAACCCTCCTCTGCCAATCCCTGCACTGGTTTCCTATCGCCCAAAGGATAACATTCAAAATATTAACAACCTCTTACAAAGCCATCCGCAACTCTGCCCCCAGCTATATCTCAAACCTTGTCTCAAAGTATCATCCTAACCGTCCCCCTCCGCTCTTCAAAAGACCTTCTGCTTTCCAGCTCCCTTATCAACTCCTCCCATGCTCACCTCCAGGACTTTACTAGAATCTCTCCCATCCTATGGAACGCTCTACACCAACCTATCTGTCTTTCTCCCACTCTACTGCCTTTAGGCGATCACTTAAGACTCATCTCTTCAGGGAAGCCTATCCCACCTCAACCTGACCACTGAACTATCACCTTCTCAAACAATTCATCCCCACACAGCTACCTCCTCATGTATCACTTCCTGCTCCCTTTTAGATTGTAAGCCCTCAGGGGCAGGGCCCTCCTTACCATCTTGTCTTGAATTGTATTGTGATTATAATGTCTTCCTTATATTGTAAAGCGCTGCACAAACTGTTGGCGCTATATAAATCCTGTATAATAATAATAATTAGGGGTCTGAAAGACCTCTGATGTCTCCATAAAGAGGATCTGTCACATTATATTTGCTATTACATAGGGTGCTTGTTAGCCCCCTGTGTGATAACAATAAAGTAGAGTGTAAAAAAAAAAAATTGTAAAAATTAAAGTGATAGATAAAAAAAAAAATAAAGAATGCAAAAAAGACAAGTTACATATTGTCGCGAGCGTCGGAGTGAGAGCAATAATTCTAGGGCCATCAATCACTTTTAACACTAAACTGATGAGCCGTAAAAGTGATTAAAGCTTTGCCTATATGAAATTTTGGTTATTGTAGTTTTTTGCAGTTTCATGGACGCACGCAATTTTAAGGCTTGACATGTTTGGTATCTACTTACCCCGCGTGACCCCATCTTTTATATTTTACCAAAAAAGTGGGTATTATATTCTGTTTTTGTGCACTACATTTAATTTTAGTGTATTTTATTCTAAAAATGCTTGTTTGATAAACATTTGCGCAAATACCATGAGACATAAAAAATTGCAACTAGCATCTTATTATTCTACAGGATCTCTACTTTCAGAAAATGTATCATTGGTTTGGTCTGAAGCTGTTTTCTAGCCAAAAATTCAGATTTGATCATGTGTATGCAAATGTAAGAAATTGCTCCGGACAGCAAAGGGGTTAAAGAACTTCTGAAATATATTCTTCTTCCGACACTTCTGGTCACCCTCTGCATGCTGTGGTTCCTTCTGACATCTCCTATATCACTACAGGACCCAGTGGTAACATAGGGGCCAGTGGAATGAACCACAGCGTACAGTGGGGAACCAGGCATCCCACACATCCTTAGGTGTGTTCAATACTGATTCTCTGGCAGCAGTAGGGAGTGTAGATCTGCAGCGTGGGTGGTGGGACATACAAGTATTCACTCTTTTCTTTGCCTGAAATGCTTTGGTTTTCTTTTCTCAACATAGAGAAATAGTCGCTTTAAGGTAAACACTGCAATAATTCAAAATATCTGCTCAATTTATTTGTCCGTTAATGCAAAATAAATCCTTCCTGTGAATCTGAATAAGAAATCAGCTTATAAAAAAGGAAATTGATATGATTTTTTTTTTTTTTGTGGGGAGATTCGAGTTTCAACAATTTCACCTACTTATAATGCAGCTCCATGTAGGTGCGCCACTAATGTATTTGCCATTCAACAACAGTATTCATGAAAAAATATATTCTGAAGATTGTTTTGGACTGTAAAACACGCAGAGAATTTACTCTAAACTTGGCCAAGTTCTTCACTTTTAATAGAGAGAACCTGGAGAAGGATTTTTTTAAACATATTTCACTTTTCTTTTTCAGCTTTAAGCTCTTTAAGATTAAGCAAAAGAATTGAACAGAGCATCGATGGGTCTTTAAAGTTACCACCATTTTCTATCACTAGAGACAGCAACAATACTTGTTAAAAAGATTCCTTAAAAAGATACCAAACTTTAGGTTTGGTTGCATGTTGTGCATGCAACAGCAGCATGTTTGGGCAGTGTATTCATTTCAAAAGACTGCTCAACATGCAACAATCACACAGAAATTCCTTGTGCACTTTCTTTAAAAAACGTGCCACATCAAAGCCCAAGCTACAGTTGTATCATGTGTTTTGTTGCACTACAGTGCTCATGATTTGGCAGGTGCTTTTGGGGTGCTGCTCCCTGCTGCCTTCCACGCATTTACCAGCTGGTCCCTCTCCATCCCCCGCCAGCTGTCAGTGACTGAGGGCACACAGGGGGAAGGATCTGCTTCAGAGGCTACTGTTCGCCATCCTTAAGCAACCGATCTTCCCCTCTATGTGGCTGCTGACACCTGGAGAAGGGGGGTGAAGGACCAGCCAGTACATGTGGGGAAGGCAGCGGGGATTGGACGGTGTGAAAAGTAGAACCTGGGGGCATAGAGAGTGAGGGGAGAGCAGCAGGCACACAGGAGACAAACGGAATGGGGGGGTTCACATTTTTAATTAATGGTTGCGATCAGTGTCTTGTTGTTTATTTATTTAGCTGAGTCTTGGGGACACTCCTGTTACAAGCTTATAGATGCTAAAGTGACCATGAGCTTTTAGCAGAAGGAAGAATGCAGCCAATGCAAGGAATACTGACTATGCCTCACGGCAGTGACAGGGCTTATAGCGCCTCACTCCATCTGCAGTGGATGCTTGACCACTAGCATACTTTGAACCATGCAGTATTCAAGATTTAAAAGTTTTGTTATGAAAAAGGAAATTCAGAAATCTTTTTAATAATCATTTTTGTTGCATAGAAAAAAATTGTGGTACCTTTATGCCCCATGAATGCTCTGTTCAGTTCTTTCATTCAGTAACTTTGGTACCAGTATAAGCAATCAGTCCATACAGATAGTGTGATCATAATATCATTTAGATAATTAGGTTCAGCTTCTTTATCTTTATGTCGCTCTTCACAAGCTGGCAAATGATAGAACAGAATTGGAAAATGAAAGCAAGAATTGTGCAACCAAAAAGTACAATGGGGGTAATTTATCAAAACGGGGTCAGACAAAATCTGGAGCAGCTGTGCATGGCAACCAATCGGCTTCTCTCTTCAGTTTGTTCAGTTAAGATTTAAATGAAAGAGAGTTACTGATTGGTTGCCATGCACAGGTGCTCCAGATTTTCTATGCTCCATTTTTGATCAATTCCCTTCAATGTGTCTAAAGTCAAGATTTGGAAAGTGTAGAAGGGTCGAATGGCTAGAACCTCTCACATTTTTATTGCTGTCTGTGACCACGTTGGGAAGAGTCACCTTCTGTATGTGATCATTGTCACATGGAACAGTAGAGGTAACATTTTCTCTAGCGGCACCTGTTCCAGTGCAGTTGTCTAAGTGGGAATTCCTAGTTTTGGAGAGATTTCCTCTCACTTCAGGACAAGAAGTAAAGAGAACTCTCCCCAATAGGATTCAGCAAAAAAAAAGTTTTAATATTCCACAGTCGTTCTAAAACTTAAAAAAAAAAAAGTGGAATTAGGTATATGATGCAGATCCCAGCTTTACAAATGTCAGAGCATAGATATGCCATGTTACCTCCCACGTGTCAGTTCCTGGGTGTGACAATAGGGTGCTAAGTCACAAAATACTGCTTTTTGCGTAATACAGTACAAAAGGAGGCGTCATTGTTTAAGGAAGTCTATATAAACCCTCTCAGGCGTGTGGTCTTGTAAAACTAAACATATTCTGTGACACCATATAATTCCCACTCTTCCAGTTCCTTTACTTTAGCACATTTAGATTAGTTATAGGTTAGAAATGTGGGGAATTTGCCATTCCTGACCTGTTTTAAAATTTGCAAACTTTATAGCGGTCATTCTGGTTTGGGTATTTACTGAAGCAATGATCAGGATGGCAGCTTCCATATTCAATCATTACAACCATTCTCTAAATGAACCACATATATAGATGTAAATATGCTTTTGTGTTTTTTTGTAAAGCTCCCCTTATTTATTGTATTTTCTATAGGACCATACAAGTTACGTATGGGCTTTGAGGAAAGACAAAAGTTGCTGAGGGACCAGTATTTCTTTGTCTGCCAATGCACGGCCTGCACAGAGGAACAGAGACCCGCAGTTAAAGCTTTATGTGATTTCTGCTGTGAGAAGTGTCATGCAGGGTTGGAGGTGATTTTTTTTACACAGGCATTTCTAGCTGAGCTTTTCTTGTATATGCATTATGAAGCTGATTTGTTTTTGTTTTTTTTGGCAAGGGAGAAGATGTACTGCGCTGTGTCAATGTGTCCTGTTCACACACTGTGAGAAGACAGCAGCTGGCCCTCAGGTTGCAGAATCTTCAGCAGGCTGTTCAAAAGGCTCGAGAACACTTACAGGACAACCATCCAGGTAACAGCTCAATTAACATTACAGCACCCATTAGTGTTAATTGGTCAGAGAAATGAGTTAATGTATTTCATATGGGTGACAGGGGTAATGGATATCTAAGTATAATTTAAAAAATCAGATACATTTAAAAGCCTTCTTTGCATATTATATATTTCTAAAGCTGCAGCTCAGTTGTTTATTAAGTGCAGTTTAACCTGGTTGTTTCAATCTTTAAAGTGGAATTCCAGTGCAAACTGTCAAATGATTTGTAATTCTGTTTAGCCAGCCTTGTGATTCAGTAGCCACAACCTAAGAGACATGATCACTCCACTAACTCCTGCTTCAGCTTTTCAGTTCCCTGCTCATTGAACAATGAATTTGCATTGTGATGATGCTGAGAGGTGACATGCAAGGTGCAAAGCCAAATTAGGAAATAGTGGTGTCCCCTGCTTGACTGAAGAGTTGCAGAGGTTTGTAAGCACAAGAGTGTCTGAACAGAATAACAAATCATTTTGCAATAAAACCAGCTGTACAATTTAGTTTGCCTGTAGTTCAGTCAACAGCATACTAAACATACTTAACTTTTAGCTAAATCTAACCTATTTTCACTCTTCCCTCACTGCACTACATCTTAGCTGCTGAACAAAAAGCTCTGTAGTATTCATCCATTAGCAGCTTTATGTTCTCTCTGGCTGCCAGTACCCAACACAGCAGTGGGTCATTTGGTCAATGAGTGACGTTCAGTCTCAATGAGCCAATCTGTAGCTCTAACAGAGTATAAATTCTGACCTTTTGACAGCAACCACAGCTAGAGGTGTGTTCTGTTACCAGCAAGCAAGAAGAAGCCCAGTGATGCTGACAGATAATTATTACATAGCTTTTTTTAACAGTATACATTGGGGACACCGTAGTATATAAAATAGATTAGGTTTAGCCCTCATTCACACAGGAATTGGCCCGCACGTACAGCTCCGTGCAGCGTGCAGGGCCGTACCCAGTAGCTCTTGGGAAGGACAGGTGCTGCGTGTGATTAGTACGCAGCCCCTGTCCTTCTCTATGGGACTACGCGGCCGTGCGCCCCCCTACGCTCATCCGCCCTGCACGTCAGTGCTGGTGAGCGTACTCGTACGCTGACAGGATGGATCCTGTCTGCGTCCAAGCCAGGAAACACGCACACAGCGGACCTGCACTTGAGGTGAGCATAGGGGGGCATACGGCCACTTAGTCCCATAGAGAAGGACGGGGGCTGCGTAGTAATCACACGCAGCACCTGACCTTCCTGGGAGTTGCCCGTAACGGCCCTGCACGCAGCACGGAGCTGTACGTGCGGGCCGATTCCTGTGTGAATGAGGCCTTAGGCTTCATTATTAAACCCAAATCATGGAAATTAAAAAATGTAGCCCTATCATGTTAGCTCTTCTTTACTGTTGTGTAGCAGAATGTGAATAGTGTTAGTTTAGTGTTTTTTAAAAACATTTTAAGAATAGAGCAAAGATTGTTTGCATCTAAACTGGCCACATAAGCTTTTTCTAATGCAATTTCAGAGGTATAACCCTTTCTGTGGATAGAAAACTGCTTATTTGGTATCTCAAACAGTAAGAGTTGTGTGAAAAAATTCAGTAAATTGGAACCAACCGTTGTGCAGCCAGGTCGCATCCTCTTCCTGCATGAGCTGGTTTGCATTAGGAAAAAGGTTCTGTATTCTTGATGATGTACTGGGTGCAGGTGAGCGTATTCCTACGCCGCTGGAATGGATCCTGTATGCGTCCCGGCCAGAAACCCGCACCCCTACGGACCTGCAATTGAGGTGAGCGTAGGGGGGTGTACAGCCGCGTAGCCCCATAGAGAAGGACGGGGGCTGCGTACTAATCACACGCAGCACCTGTCCTTCCCGGCAGCTGCTTGGTAGGGCCCCGCACGGAGCTGTACGTGCAGGCCAATTCATGTGTGAATGGGGCCTAAGAAGGTGGATATAAAGCTGATTGTGCCAAAAATATAATTGAGAACAGTGGCACATACATTTTTTTTTAGATGGGGTTAGCTACCCACTATGTATGCATATTAGATACCTCAGCCTGGCAAGGCTATATCCAGGCATTTCCATTTCAGACCTTTTACCTATACTATGTATGTGCATAAGCATACGAATAAGCAGTGTAGAAGTAATATTGGTATATAATTACCTAGCTGTACCCAACTAGACAATTGGGTGGAGTTTTTTCTTATAAAACGGCGCATATTTTTTAAATCATAGGAGCTGTGTCCTGTTGATGTAAATCAGTATATACACCTTCGGTGATGCACACAATCATCTGAATGGAACATACTGTGTATATAAAAGGGTTAGAAGCCCATGAACTAGACACCTCTGGGTGACAGTTGTGCTTTATCTACTGCCTGGTAGCTGAGACAATAGTAAGCTTTCTCTGTATGAGGATATGCTCACAGCTGCCAACCACTAGAGGGAGCACATTATTTCGACTTCTGAGGGGTTAGGTTACCATTTTCGACTGAGCGGTGTCTACAATGAGATGGTAAGAATGCTGGCTTGGAAGCATTACAGGGCTATACACTAGAAATGTAACAGAAAGCTTGTGGTAGAAAATAACTTTTATCTTTTCTCTGACTTTCCTGATATAAATACTTGTACCAGGTCATCGACTTAAAGCATTGAAGCCAGCGATTTAGGATAGGTCAGCCAACTAGCATTTTCTGGTGAAGATCAGGAATGGCAGCCCCCATGAAAATTTATTTTAAGGTAAGATGTGACAGGATTAGCAAATATAGCTAAAGGATAAAGCTCACACAGTGTAAGCAGGTACCACATGCAGCCTACAAAGAACCCACTGAAAATTGTGAGAGGCATGATTACAAGTCACAGAAGAAGTCATGACTGGTACACAACTGACATTTCAAAAATATGTTTATCCATGGTGATGTACGGAATATAAAAGTTGATCTATTTTTATTGGTTCGCCCATAAGTACTTTTGACAAATGTCCACTGTTATATTTTTATCAATAGATATGACCGTAGAACTGCTGACGTCATGTTTATCTGAAGCCAGTGAATTTCTTTCTAAGAACCACATGTCATTTGGCGAGATTTTTGATCAGTTGGCGCAGGCTGAAGCATCAAGAGGTACTATATTTCTTAGAGAGTTGATAACGTCTGTCCTTAAAAACCTACTTACTAGATGGGAGAGCCACTGCCTTCCCTTCCCTTCCTTCTGTGCCGTCCTTTGTGTGTCGTCGTTCTCCCATTTTTTCTTTGATAAGTTTGCATATTTGCTGGCTGACTTGTTTCTGCCTGTACCTCTTAGTCTAGGTTTGCGGTTATACTGTTTTCTTTTGCCAACATTTGTTGGGTGTCCCGTCATGTTTATATGTTATAATCTTTCAATAAAAATGTATTGCAAACAAAATCTTACTTTGAATTTGTATTCGTAGGTGACTGGGCCACAGCAGCAAGACATCTTAAAAAAAGTATCCAGACTGTAAAACAGCATTATGAAGCATCCAGCTTAGAAGTTGGTCATGAATTGTTTAAGCTGGCCCAGATCCTATTCAATGGGTAGGTGCTGTGAAAATTCAATAACTTGGAACTCATTTTATCTGCTGGGCTTACTATGTGTGTTTTCCATTTTAGGTGCAATGTGGATGAAGCGATGAATACTATTGTGAGAGCCCAACATATACTTTGCTTGCATTATGGACCTGATCATTGCTTAGTACAAGAGCTGAATGAAATGAAGACATGTCTACTTGAACTCCCTGGAATGAAGGGTTCACTGGAGAGCTAATACTACAGTTAGGAATTGGAATATTAGACTTTAAAGCAATGCTGCTCTAAACAGGGCTTAGCAAATTCTAAAAGTCAGGATGACATGACACATAAAAAATAAATTGCATCTTTTTAAAGCCTTTTCTGCTGTTTTCAGGGGGGCACTGTAAAATCCCTACTGGATTTTCAGTTGATCTGGTCTTGTCTATAAAGAATACCGGTGGGTAAACCAGTGAATAGGGATCTATTTTGGAAGCAGAAAAAAATTGTATGTTTATATTCTAATATACCGTGTTTCCGCGAAAATAAGACAGTGTCTTATATTTTTTTCGGGTGTGTCGGGGCGGGACCTGCGGCCAGTCTTGACAATTTAAATTAAGACCTAGCGCTATCTTCAAGGATTTCTGTAATATAAGACTTACCACCGAACTAGGTCTTATTTTCAGGGTAGGTCTTATATTACAGAAATCCCTGAAGATAGCGCTAGGTCTTACTTTCGGGGAAACACGGTAGTGAGTTATGCTAGGAAGAGCTGAAGGATATATGCCTGAAAGCAGTGCATGCAGAACTCTCCATGCCCTCCCATATTAGTGGAGGTCTATCAGTCTTCCAGATTTCTGCAACAATCTCCATCTACCTGGCCTCCTGAATTCCCATGCTGAAGTTGCTGCACACTACTATCAATGGCAGAACTGACCCATACATTCATGGTAAAATGATTCTGCAAACAAACCTTTAGCAAGCACTTCTGGAAAAACACCTAGCTGTGCTTGCACAACTAAACCTTGGTAATCTTCTGATTTTTTAATTGGCAATTCAAAAAACTTGGCATGCACCGATACTGAGTATTTGGGCGAGTACTCGTATCGAGTGCTCCAATGCCTACCCCCCATACCGGAACTTCCGGCCCGAGGGAGATTTGCCGTCAGTGCCACGAGGGAACATGATGCTGGCTTCCCGGCCAATCAGGAAGTCGGGCGGCAGTTAATGACTTGCTGCCAGGCTTCCCAGCCAATCAGCATGGAGCCGCCTTCCTGGGCAATCAAGAAACTGGGTGGTGGGTAATGACTCGCCACCCGGCTTTCTGTTTGGCCGGGAAGCAGGCTCCATGCTAGCAGAGGTACTAGTATCGGCAAGTACGGAAAGATAAATATCAGTACTCGTATTTGATACCAAAAAAACAGTATCGGTGCATCACTAAAAATAACCATCTTGACCATACATGTAAAAGAGTCTGCTTTAATCTTTTGCCTTGGCTGGTTGCTACAGGTAATACCACCATTTATTTGATCTAGCTTTTATAAATGAAACCCATTATTTCGTAGCAGATGTGTAGCTCGATATCTGCATCTGTCAGCACTGGGAAACTCCCAGGACACACTTGCAGTTAATGTATCTTTGTGAAACAACTGTTAAGAGAACATTCTTGACTAATTAGACTTGTTACACCATCTACTGAAGGTGCTATTCCCTGTGCATTAATTATTTTAATAAACTACACAGCTCCAAGACTGGGTTAATATTCCATTGATGGAATGAAGCAGGAGAGACATGATTCTTGAGCAATCAGTAAAACGTACTTTATTGCAATGGATTGTTCTGGCATATAGCAGAGGAGAAGAGCTCAGCTGGGACCTCACCACTTTGAAGGAGCAGAATGATATAACAGAAAACTGGTTTAGCTAAAGGGAATACAGAGTTATTCTGTAATTTTTCTCACAGAAACAAGATACAAGGTGAGCACCAAGCACTTTTCTCCATTTCTTCACGGGCACCCAACAGGTTGTGTTTTTTTCAGTTTCATTTGCAAATAAGGCTGCCTTTGTGATTTTCTTATCAGGTGTATGCAGATTCAGTTAAGGTAAGTAGTAGATAATCTTTTAGAGGCAGTAGTAAACTCAATTCTAGATATAATGGGGAGACAATTTGGTAAAGAGACCTATGGACAGTTTGCCAGAAAGGTTTAAAAAAAAATCAAGTTGCCTAAAACAGCAAGTATTTTGTGAAGCTTCGGAACAGGAAAGTTCCAGAGTAAAGAGATACTGGTTTCGTGTTAATAATTGTTACTTCATAAACACTGAGAAACTTAGTACACATACATGTAACTTGCCTTGCATATAAAAAAAAACAACAAACTAACAGGCATTTAGAATAAGGCAAAGAAAATATGCAACATAGCTTGACCGGTAGCAGCCAACCAGCAGTCGTTTTCATTGACTGTAGTCTGATTGGATGTTATGGGTCGCACACATTTAATTGTTCCTTACACTTTTTAATAGACTATGTATATCATGCTGTTTGCTATATAATATATCTATCTATACAGTATAAAAGCATGTATCATCTATGGAAGACTAGTTTCAATGCAGAAAAACTACAGTGCAATGAAGGAAAACCTGGGGCAGAACCTAATGTGCTAATTAAGATTGTAAGGGAAATTCTAGTTTCTGATCAGTGGACAAGAATAACCAACCGGTTCATCTATTCGCTGCCAATAGAATCTGCAATTCATTGCTATGCAATTGTTTACATCATTTGCATAAAATGCATGAAGATTAACGAGAAAGTTCTTTAGGATTCATTACTTTCCCAATGAAGAGAAGGGCACCATTATCATCAGCGCGCACAACAAAGAGGAACGGGTGATCCAAATGGAACTCGAGCGGGTAGTGATTGATCTGCTTGGGATCCACCTTTGCCGTGTGCTCTCTTCCATCTTCATTTAGTTCCATTACAACTTTGTGCAGAGCCTGTGTGAGCTTCACTGGTTTGGAAGTCATTTTACTGAAGTCCGGAGTTGAGAATAGTGGCTGGAGTTCTAAACAAAAGAATTATTACATTAGACCAAATATGGACACAGTGTGACATTTTCCTGTTGGAGTTTCTCTGGGTAGCACTTGACATTCTGGTCACATCAAGCTAACCTGCACTAAAGAGGAAATGGTGAACCAAAGCAGAATTTTCTTTACATTGCTTATAACTGAGGTTTATATAGGTTTTTTTCTAGTGTAGTGCAGTAAGGAACAAGGTGTGAAGTGTAGTATTTCATAGTAGCCAATCAGGTTTCAGTTTGTTATCTTCGGTGTGGTATTTCTAAAATATAAGCTTGGGCCGGGCCGCACAGAATCAGCCTGATTGTGTGCAGCCTTGCCTGCTATGCCTAATGCATAGCCTCGGGCACTAGCCTGCACGACGCTATTCATTAGCCTGTTCCGAGCCCTGCTCCGTTGGACCGAAACTTGTTCGAGCACTGCTATGAGAGGGAGGGGTTAATCGGTGCCAGTGCCGAAGTAGGATGGGGGGGCAGCATGTGTACGGGCACCTCATCAGAAGGGGTGGCAGGGGGAAAAATTAAACATTACTTGGCCGCTGGCTCTCCTCCCGCCGCTCTGCAGGCACTGCCAGTACCAGCTCCGCACCTGAGGGCGCCGGGAAGGAGGGTTCTAGGAGCTGTGTCAGAAAGCAGCCGGGGAGGTAATGGACCGACCTGGACACAGAGGTGAGGCCGCCCGCAGCCCTGCTGAGACCCTCCGCTGCCCTGGTGAGTCCGCCCATAGCCCTGCTGACATCGCCTGCAGCCCTGGTGAGTCCACCCGCAGCCCTGCTGAGACCATCCATACCCCCATATTAACCACCATGGAAAAGAGATGTGGAGCGTCCACTTGCTGGGGGTGGTAGTCCCAGGAGGCTATGTCAGCACCTTGGTGGTTAACAGACCCCCCCAAATGGTGGAACGCCAGTGCCAAGTCGCAGCTGCGACTTTGATAATACCACCACTTGGGGTGCCCGGACAGGAGGAAGAGGGCCCCGTTAACCGCCTTAGCTCCCAGCATGTAGCAGGCCAACTCTCCGCTGCTCCTTACCATAGCGGTGGAGGGTTGGGGGGACCCTTCATGGTTTCTTGCACCGGGGCCCTGAAGTTTGTAGTTACACCTCTGGGTAAGTGGATAATAAATGTATATACATTATAAAGGGAATCTTTTGGCATGTCAAGCAGTTGCTTACAAAATCCATCTGGGACTTATTAATAAGGCAGTGCTAGCCGAAATGCTAAGTCCAAATTGGTATATCTAAACATATTTAGATGTTACAGACATTACACAGGAATATATGCATACAGGAGAAATGTAGATATCCATTTATATATCGATAGATTTTTTTTTTTGTGTGTGTGTGTGTGTATTTCCACTAATACTACATAACAAAGGGCTTTGAAATTTTGAGATCTTGACTCCAGCATCCAGTTAGATTATTTCGTTTTGTGTAGAAAATTGTTTTGAGGAATCTAGACATAATCCATGAGGCCCAAGAATTGGTAATTTGATTACATTTACAGTTTAGTATAATGTTGAAAACATCAAGAAAAGATAGTCAGCACATATGTTAAAACACAATAATAGTAATCATCTGTATTACTTGCTCCAGGGATTCCCCCCTCCCCGCAGGGATTCCCTCCCTCCCCGCTCCGATCCTCTAGCGCTGACTGTTGGAAAGGATGGGGAGATTACAGCTGGCTCTGCCTCTAGATAGGCAGAGCCCACTGTCACTCACGCAGCTGGGTGGATCTCGACAGTATTGTCGGGATCCGTCCCGGCTGCGGCGGTCTCAGTATACCGCGAGCTATAGCTCGGGATATACTGAGCTTTGGGTCACGGGAGGAAGCTAGTATATGTCCTCCCGTGACCCTTAAGAGAACTATGGGGAAAAACACTTTCCCCATAGTTCTCTTTTAATAAAATGTCATTTGAGACATTTCAAAAAAGTTCTAAAGAAGAAAAAAAAAGTAAACCGTGTGATGCGCTGGGATCAGTGCATCCGCTCTGTGACTGCTAACACACACCAGCCTTGATAAATGTGTACCATACCATTTGGCTTAATATTTTTATTCTGCATTGCCATATATCAGTAAAACTAGAAGATCACTTACTGAGTGTTAACATGGACCATTTAATTATAATGACTCTACATTTTGCAAAATGAGATTTTGCAAAATGAGATGTTGCAAAATGGAAAGCCAGAGGATGTAGGTTTCCATAAAACATGAAACCTGAAGTGCAAGGTATCTGCATAGGTACCTGCGGAGGTACCTATGCTGATACTAACTTTTTGAAGAAGTAGGTTGCTCAAGGAATGAGTATTATTAAATGTGGAATGAGTATCTTGTGTACTTCAGCAAGTGCAGTAAAGAGGAGGAGAACACAGAATATAAAGGTACCATGTGGTATTTCATGTCCCCACTGTCCTGGTGGGTCTCTTAGTTTAACAAGTTTTGTAAGGTACTTTATATAAAACTGTTAACTTACTCATATCTTCTAATGTGCTGGCAAGTTGTGCCTCATAGTTCAGCTTCAGTTTTGGTACACTAAGCTTTATGCTGACTGACTGTAATGCCCGGTCTATATCATGGACAAATTCAGATGTTAGACCCTCTTCAATCAGGGTGAGGTTCTGGGTAACAGTAAGAGGCAGGAAAAACATGATGCTGATTCCTCCGCTGAGTGGCAGCTGCATAATCTGAGAACAGAAGTATAAAAATGTAAATGACATATAACAGGATAGCTGCCCTTAGTGAAATATGAAAATGAGGGATGCACCGATAGCATTTTTTTCAGACCAAGTATGAGTACCGATACTTTTCCTCAAGTACTCGCTAATAACAGTGATCAATACTTTTTTTTTTTTGTCATGTGACTGTTGGAACGTAAAATAATTGACATCTATGATACAGCTTTGATGGAAGGTTCCTTGATATCTTAAATGGAATCAGCAGGTGGCTGATATGTAAATGAGGACCATCAAAGGGTTCTTGGGGCTGGACACTGAGGAATGAAGATCTGCCAGGACGGTCATGTCCTGGGGCAAGCCCGACCCCCTGCTGGTATTTACTGCCCACACCTGTGTCAGCAAGGCATATATGCTGGGATGGGGGCAGGGGCATATGATGGAACCTTCTTCCTGTGTGACACTAATCTAGCTGACCAGCAAGACCTTTGGACAAGACAAGTCTTTCTGAACTCTGCAATCAAGAATGTGATTCGCTGAGACCTGCTGGAGAGGCGTGTCCTGAGAGCAGAGAAAAACCCATGGCATGTGTGACTGAGAGTGAGAGAATGGTGTAGCTAGCTGTAGGATCCTTAACCTCAATTCCTATCCCCAATCCCCCTTTCAGATTCCCTTAATTGTAATTAGAATGCATGTATATCCCTATTTGTAAATAAACCCAACACTTATTTAAGATTCAGTTGTTCATCAGTAATTTAAGGCACCCCCAAATGATAGCACATTCTACAGTGACAGTCTCAGGTGAGGTGTGCGCGGTCTCAGGTGGGCTGAGTATTAAAGTGCCGGTATCAGCGCTTAGTACCAGGGCATTTTAACGAGTACCGGCACTTGTGAAAAATGCCCAGTATTGATATCTGTGCATCCCTAATGAAAACTTTTTTGTTTTCGGACATGCCTGTTTTGAGACCACGTATATTTAATTGAAAATAACCTATGACCAAAAAGAATAAGGAGTTGCGCTAATATTGCGCAACATAAAAATTTTCAACTACCACCATTTTATTCTATAGGGTCTTGGCATTCAGAAAATATATAATGTTGGGGGGTTTTACGTCATTTTCAGGCCTAAAATGTGGAATATAACATGGGTGCAAAAATTGAAAAAAGGGCCTCAGTCATGAAGGGGTTAAAGTGAATGTAAATCCTAACAATCCTTATTTGCTCTCCTTTTTGGTCTGTTAAATATTCCATTGAAATAATTTTGTTAAGTGCAAACAAACTTACTTTGTTCTCAACCAGTGCTGCACTGTAACCTCAACCAATACTATTATCCCTGCCCAGTTAATCTTTTGAACTACAGAATACTCCCATGTTAAGGAGATGAGAAGGGGCAATGTTCTGTAATCCAAATCAAGAGTGAGCAGCCTAGTTGACAACCTTCCTCCACCATAGATACCATACAGTGAGTGAAGGTTGTCCCAAGGATACCAGGTAGAAATAACATCGAAAAAGCAACACATCTAAGAACTGGCAGGCTGCAAAATATTCTATATCGTCTGTTGTGGGATACAGGTCTAAAGAAATCTGATACTTAGGGTTATCCTGCTACTTCTAGAAGAAATGGAAACTAAGCAAACAAAAATAATTTCAATCTTGCCACATAACCCCTCCCAAATCACAACCGCCAGGTTCAGTTAGTGTTCTCAGAAGAATAGATGTCTAATTTTCTTTATTATATTAGTTTATTTTGTATTTTCAGAGAGCACAAGGACTTCTAGTGATTCATATCGATAGAATAATAGAATTAAATCCTGAGAGTTTCACTAGTTAGCCAAATTGAGTTAGGCCCCTTTCACATGGGCCGATCAGGAGAGGATCCGTCAACAGATCCTCTTCTGATCAGAGTGGATGACACCCGTGTCCGTACAATTTTTTTCCTCCAAAACTGAACCATGTCGGACCCCATATGTGTCTATGGGGAATCTGATGTAAAGGGACATGTGTCCATTTACATCAGATTACCTGCAGCCCGGCACAATCCGGTCCGTCAAAACGGATCAATGATCTGTCTGTTTTATTGGACCAAGCCGAGGCTAACCAGGTGTAACAGAAGCTTGTCCGTTTAAACCCGACTGTCCATAGACTTGCGTAGAGCGTCCGATCGGGTACAGCTGAAAAAACTGACAGGCGGACCTGATCAGACTGCTCATCTGGAAGGGGCCTTAGAGATTCATACCAGATAAGTTAAATACTGGAGGTTTCTCTAGTCCTCAGAAAACACTACGTTTCTGGTCTCTGGTACTTATGCTTTGTCCTGAGGAGGTCATAAAGCAAGTTGTTTCTTCATGAAGCAAGTCATTTCTGGTCTCAGTACTTCTGTTTCGCCCTGCGGTGGTCCGGAGTTCCCATGATCGTTACCTTGAAATCAGTCAGGTCAGTATTGTCTAGGGTTCCCTACGGTGGGGAAGGGAACATGGCCAAAAAATTGTTTGTTGTTATATGTTAAACTATATAAGTAAAGATTAGTTTACCTTATCTCATTTGGCTGTGTAAAATTCTTGAAATATATTCCCATAATGGCTTTTCTGCCTAACTGGGAGTTTGTGTGCCTTTTTGTTAAATCTCGCCACCTCTTTAGGAGGCCAGGACTTGAACTTGTGGCAGGGGGTGTGACCAGGGTCATCATGTGGTTAAAGTGAAAGGCTTTTCATTTTTTGTTTGCCTAGTGTCCATTTCTCCTAGAGGCAGCAACATAACCCTACGTATCATAAGTCTTCAGAGCTGTGTCCCTTAATGGACTCCAAGAAAAGGATTTTACGGTAAGAACAAGATCCTATTTTTTGTTTCTGTGGTTTCCGATACTTAAATAACTGACCTAAATAAGATTTACTGAAAGGAGAACACGTGACTAATTTAATAACATATGTACAAATATTCATAATTAGCTTACATTAGGCTCACTGTTATTTCCTGATCAATAATCAGCAAAATAAAACATCAGATGCATCCACAAGCACCCCTTCCTTACAGGAACTCTGATTAACAGCATCCTCTGTGACTTCTTACTCATCATGTGTTCCGTTTAAAACATAGGTTATCTATAAACGTCAGCAGGAAAAGCTCAGCACACAGTTAGCCAATCGGAAGCAGGTTTTCACTATCCATTAATACTGCTGGCTTACCAGGGCATTACTGGGGCCATATTATGGGGGAGAAACCACCCAGTGGGTAGTTCTAATTATTTCTGCTCTCTGATTTGTCTCTAGTAGAAGACAGATTTCACATATATACAGTAGTAAGTGTCTTGAAAGGGCTTGGCATTTTTCAATAACAGTGGTTTAGTTACATGGCACGATTACAGTATAGTGGTCTTGAATATACAGTAATCATCAAATGTCTTCTCCAGTGTTACAGAGACCTGCTGGGTGCAATACCACTGCTACAAGGGCACTTACTCCCCTGACAAAGTCTGCATCTATTTATTCATTCTGCTTTATAGAGAATATAGCAGAAGGTAAAAATGACCCCTCACTTGACTTCATAATGGCCACAGTGGCACAGAGCCAGGAACTCCAATGAAGGCATCTTGTATAAGGCGTTCCCACGAGTAATATCAAGGCAATGGGCGATTCTAGTAATGGATGGGCCTGGCTTAATTATTTTAGATAAAAAGAAAAGATACATGTAAGCGTTTACTTTGTAATCTGTTGCTTTAATGCACAGTTTTCTAATTACTATGCATTAGCCTTCTATTATACTCCAATTTTATCCTCCCCTATAAAAGTATGTCAACTGCTAATTTATTTTTCTGCATGTTTTGTGATTTGCCAGCCACACGAAGACTTCCTTCTTATTTATTGCTCAGCAGATGTAAGATAAAGGCCTACAAAATATTTTGTGCCGCCTCTGGCAATATGAAATTATTCTGTACAAAAAAAGAGAAAATACTAGTCTCATTTTTGAGCTGCATAAATAGCTGTCCAGAGAATTACTGCCTGGCATATTTTAGCAATAACCATTGAATTACTAAGAATCTAGAATCATTTATTCTTCAGTAAATTCAAATAAGTTATGTTTTAGTTCTTGTTCCCTTCCAGCAGTATGACTAGTATATGATTTGCTGATATAGAGAGCATTGGTTTTTCAATAAGCTACCGTATTAATCCATGAATACAAGCCTGGCAAGGTCATAACAGGTTGCAAGTAGTAAGAAAGACATTGGACCTCATTTATCAAGGTGTCTTAAATTAGAAATGTCAGTATCACCTTCAGCCACCAATCAGATTTAACATGTGACTGTAACTTGCAGGTAGCAGATGACAATGCTAAGGAAAAGCAGCAGCTTCCTGAATGCTTAGATAGGAGCTGTGTTGTGTGAATTTAATCTCAATAGCAGGGAGATCAGATTATACAGTAGAATGTTTCACAACTTCTTCTAGCAGAGTTTTGACTGATAACCATGTTTTTTAAATCTGAACACATTGGAAATGAGTTACTAAATGAGTAGAGGCTGTTCACTGAGCAAAGTCAACATTTGCTGAGTTTCATAAATAAGATGAAGCCTGTAACAAGCATGGAAATAAGAACTTCTGACTTTCCTGATCTGGATACTTGTTCTAGGTGAGTATTAAAGCTTGTAAATCAGCATATTATCCAAGCAACTAGCAAAAGGATCAGCAGTGGCAGCTCCTGGATTTCTCTCCGGAGCAGTTAACCTAAATTTATTGATGTACACAAAAAGATATTGTGCCCCATGTGAGAGGCTGGGTAGCTTGTATACATGCCCTATAACGTAAAGTATTTCTTGGTGTATTGGTGGTGGGAGAGCATGATTAAGGTGAGTACAGGCACTTTATGAGGTCTGCTGTACAGCCTTGGTCCTAGTTTAGTTGTTTATTTACCGAGGGTTTGCTTTATGAAAATCTTTTCATTTTTGTGTCTTGAAAGGAAACAATCCATTTACAAGAGGACTCTGATGTATACAAGACATGGTTTAGCATTATGACAGGTGACCTCCTTGTTTTTACTGCTTGAGATCAGGAGATCTAGAGGTAGCAATCAAATGAAGGAGCTGGATCAAGTATACACATTAATGAGACATTAATAGCATGATTTAAGTAGAAAAGAGGCTAAAGTAGAATTTGGTATATTACTCCCAGGTGGGTTTCTAAGAGAAGAGGCTTTTCTTACCCTGCAGTTAAAATCAGAATCCAGGCCATATTTCACAGGGACATAGTTGGCTGTCATCATTGGAACTGAGACTGATGTCTGCTCATCTGTGTTGAATTCACGTAGGACGGTTTCACTGGGATTAAATTTTTGCGCCCACTGACCTGTGATAGATGTGGTTTCCAAAATATGATAGATTCCAAAATATGTTACAATTCTCACCCCAAATGGAAACACCATTACACAGCATATTGTTTAGAGAGAGATGAGCTTTTGTGAAGCAATATACTCTTTACACCATAAACTATTAATTTGTTGATAATTGCAGAATGATCTACCAACATAAGTAACTAGATTGAATATTTTGTTATACTGACTTTCACACTGAGCTTTCTTAGCTTAGCAGGAAGGAACACTCCTGGACAATGTAGTCTACCGTTTTCGACTGTCTATTTGCATCTATGATTACCTTTAAAAGAAGCAGCTCCAAGCAGGAGGACGCTGACACCAGAGGGGACCTCCTTCAAAAATTTCAGCACTTTCCCATCTGTCCTCTTCTGTACAAAATCGTTGGCTTCTGAGATATCGAGGCGGGCATTTCCTGACAAGACCCGAGGCTTGTATCCATAGAACTTTTCCATCTGATTCACAAAATCAATTCGCAACCTAAGCTCTAAAAAATCAAAATGACTTATAAACATCCATATATGCTTAGACAGATAAATAGAAACGTATGTCTGCATGTAGAACTTTCCTCCAAAACAATTTGATCTTCAGGCCGTGTAGTTTTGTATTGCATTCTCTTTAAAGCAGACCTAGTATCAGTCATTTTTTCAGTAATGTTATCTGCATGGTAGCTAAATTTTATGCAACACTTGCAGGCATTTACGATATCACAGTACCCTTCCTGACAAGGCTATTGTCACCTTTGTTCAGACATCATCCAGGGTTAGGGGCTACCTCTTGTACGGCAATTCTGGCCTATAGGTGATACAATCATGTACATTCTGGTGTCATACAGTCTGATCACTGGCAGCAGACTGATGACATAATTCTCTGTCTGAGCAGAGTCACTTGATTGGAGTTAAAGGGTTGCTTTTCAATTATTAAGGTACAGCTTTTAAAAATGATGCTGTACATTGTGACTTATTATTATTATACAGGATTTATATATCACCAACAGTTTGCGCAGTGCTTTACATATCAGGAATCTATTCATGGAGACTTCTAAAATTACTGATAGGCCTGCAAAAGAGATGTATAGAAAAGATTTGCAATCATTTTTTTCTTGGGAATGTTATATACCAACTGGGGAGTCATTATGTGGGAAGTATAATTTCTGTATCCCAAATCTCGAAATATGAAAGCAGATTCAGTATCTATTCTTCTTTGAAAATCTTTGAGCGCTTTTTTGTATATTCTTGCAAGCTCAGATTTTTACTGACCTTCATTATTTCCTATAGTTACAAAATTAATTAACTTCTGCTTCTCAGCAAGTTTACTGATGTTAGCAAGCACACTTCCCACATTCTAACTGTTTTCACAGATCACAGTTTGCTATTGTGACGTAGTAAGTGATATAACAGCTTACTTCTCTCCAATATGACTCGAGATGCACTTTTTACTCCTTTGTCTGCAGAAGAAAGACTTGCAAGCAGCTCTTTATAGGTGGCATGGACATCTGGGTCATTAAGGAGGTCATAGTACAAAGTACGATGTATTAAGGATTCAGTCCGCTGTCCAGCACCTGTACAAATGAACAAGTTTTTTGTTTGTTTGTTTTTTACAAATATTGTAATTACGCATTTATTAGATCTCAAAATATAATTTAACAATTTTATATCTTGGTTCTAAAGCCTGGGAGAACTTCCATTATATAAATTAGCTAAATGCCTTAAAATAGCCCCAAGATAACTTGTGTACCTATGCCTGCCCTTCACTTCCATTTGTTGCAAAAGTATGCAATTTCCAGGGGAAATAACATTCTGTGCATAAAAGCATATGTAAAATGCATGTTAAGGGTATTTTACATGCAGTACCAACCAAAGGGGTGCTTTCTGGGGCATGCAACTAAACCACAGCAAGCAGGATTTTTTCAAAAGTGTACAGAAAATACATTGGTAAAGAAATATCTCTGCCTAGGCACAGTGTAGACGGGTCCTTAAAGTGTATGTAAGCCCTAATGATGAACTCTTATTTGCTTCCTTTTGGTCTGTTAAATAAAGTACTGTATTCTTGTACCAATTACCTGTTGATCATTTCAGAAATAGAGAACAATCTTGTGCACACTTCATCGCCTCCCGGCCAGCCCGTCAAATGACGAGCGTGAAACTGCCCAAATCTGAAAACGGGCAGCAATGCCTGTTTACATACAAGCGATCCGCTGGCTATAGACATACGGCTGATCCTCCGGCTAGCTTTGTGAATAACCTTCTAAGTGTCTAAACCCTCAGACAATTGAATGGCACTGAAGGGGGCCTGGAAAAGCATATCTCTAGAAAAGATAGTTATTTTACTCTTCTAAACATAAACAATAAAGGTGATCAGCGCCAGTAAGTGTAATGTGGAAATAAGAGCTACCAAGCACTAAGGATATAACTAAATATCTGGAAAATGTGAAAAACAATATTGTGCCAAGCTAATAATCATACATATCTAATAAATTGTAACATATATAAATGAGTCACATATATGAGCCTTCAAACAAATGAGGCATAGAAAATATCTACACAAAGACAAAAAAGCAATATAGACAATAAAAAGTCCCAAGGAAAAAAACAAAAGCAAACAATGGTGATTGTGCAAAAAAAATCCAGGTGGAAAGAGAAAAAGGACAAGGACATAGTGCGTAACGTCCAACAAAATGCAATTTATTAAATAAAAAATGCGTACTCACAATGGTGTAAAAGTACAGGCATTGGGTATTGCTGGATCAGACCAGCAGGGCAAATGGCAGCAAATCGGGAAAAAAAACCTGTTCGTCCGGCTCAGCTCAGTGCAGTGACATCAGAAGCTCTGCCCTACGTACGTTACGTCAAAACACGTGACTTCATATTTTACCCTTCTATTTTTATTTTATTTATCCATCCCAGCAAGACTTCATATTAACATCTGAGTATAGGGCCACTCTAATTGGTTATATTTAGCTAGACAGGCCTTTTCAAGCAACATTCAGATATTTAAATAAACTGCAGTTCTTTAACATACTTACCTAAGAAAGTGTGATTTATATAGAATAAAAAGAAGAAAGTTAACCAATGATCAGTTGTATTATAAACACAGAAAATTATGCTAAAAGCTGCATTTCCCATTGACACATGGTAAATGCAGATGTTGCACAAACAGCAGCAGATGTCACTCGATCAGGCAAACTTGCAGGTCAAAGCAGTTGGCTACTGTGCTTTATAAATGGGTTGAATCTTCTGTTGATGCCCCTGTACGTATATCATGCAATTTTTTGGGAGAGAAAAACTAAGGTATGTAATTTCTTATAGTTGGCTATATTGAGTTCTAACTATGTTAAAAGAGTTTTTAATCCAGTGAGTCTCAGCCAATCACAAGCAGTAATTTCTAAAAGATCAGAGAGCACCATTTGTCTCAAAAGAAAAACAAAAAGCAATGGAGTGCTTTTTTTGCACAAAAGAAAAAAATAATATACCATGCAAAGTACGATTTTCTGATTAACTCACCCAAGGAGACGGCAGAAAGGGCAGTGGCAAGGGTCAGTGGTGCCATAAAGATGTTGCTGGATGGATTCTTGCTTGCGTACATGCGATAAAGGTCATAGCCGAAGTTGGATGCAGAGGATGCAAGTTTGTTGAGCGGGATCTTGTAGAATGGATCCTCTTCTTCCACAACAACAGTTGGATTCTGGTTTTCGTAACAGTAATGGATATGATTTACTACCAAGGTATCATCAAAAGCTTTTTCAAATGCATTTGCGTATTTGGGTGAAATTCTAAAACATTTTTTGCAACCGAAAGAGGCGACTAAAGCAGCAAGAAAAGCAATTCCCCTTTGCATTTGCTAAATAAGAGTAGTTTACCAAATGTTGGCATATCCCTCCCATTTCCCAGTGTTGGTCTCTACCCTTCATTAATCAGTACTGGTCCAGTCAGCAGTGCTCTGCTTTCTGTACACCACAGATACATCAGTAAAAGTGAGGAAGCCGGATAACGGCTTGCATTTTGCCTACCTATTATTATAGCCAAATATACTTTGTGTGAACCTTTGTTTATTTTAAAGCTGAGTAACAGTGGGCATACACATCAAGAACGCACCTAAAGTTGCCTCACATAGGTTTGCATATTTTTCAGTGCTTCCTATAGCGCCATAACCTCATTGCCTGCTTAGAAAGGGCCATATGGTTCAGTTAGGAGGAGAGTCTGATAAGAAACAGCTACTGCTTTGCTCTTTCTTTAAGAAAAAAAACTCAGTGCTCTGGAAATCCTTTGTTACGGGAACCCCCCTGTATACAATTTTTATTTTTAAAATATAAAATTTATATCCATAGAAAGAAATTTCAGACTTAAGATATACTTTAAACCATATGTAAACCCTAAATAAATATTATTTATTTTGTGAAAGCATTATATATCATAAACAATTGCTATTTTTTTTCTATTTTATTTTTTTTACAAAATATTTTCACTTTTTTAATCCTATCCTCTTTGCAGCCACTTCCTAGCTGCATCCAGGCAACTACTGCACCTCATTTCTTACAGTGCGTTTCTTGATGGTGACAACAGTGGAACATGCATGTGCAATGTGCATCAGCACAGTCGTTAGAAGTCTCCACTGGGAGAACGTGCAACAGGGTTAGCAATGCAGAAGAACTATTGGGAGACTGGTACTGAGCGCTGTCACAGGAAGTGCCTGAATATGGCAGGAATGCCAGGAATTATTTTACTGGAAGCTGCATATTTATAAAGTGTGACTTGTGAAATGTTATTAGCTTGTTAAAGCTTACAGTATATAAGATTTTAGTAGTTTTGGTTTACATCTACTTTACGTTTCCAAGACTTGTTAGCACTTCAGCCTCATGTTCCTGCAGAGATCAAATTGTCCATAAAACACCATCCTCTCCTCTGCATTGCATCTGTGATGTTGTTTCACACTCAACTGCTATGTGTGTTTGTTTACAGTGCTGAGATACAAAATATTTATTGGCTGAAAACATGCGAGTTTCTCACCTCCTCTGCAGCATCTTGAGAGCTGGTGAAAGAGAAAATAGTCGCAGCAAGAAGGAAAACCAAGTAGTTCTTCATGGTGAGTCCTGTAGAAAACATCACATTAAAGACTGTAGAAAAATATGAAAGTGTATAAGATATATGTTTCTCATATGTGCTACAAGCTTCACATACCTTGAAGAGTTTGATGTATCAAAGCAGAAAAGGTGAAACAGATCATTGTAATTCTAGTCCTAACTTTTTTTTGTTTCGTATGGAGTGTAGAAAGCATTGAACCATGTTCATTACTTTTTGTCCCTGTGACAACATTGTCACCCAGACATAAAGTGAGGAAACAAGGACACAGACATCAATAAAAATCTGTTGGGTCTCCAACCTTCCCTGCTCTACAAAAAAATTGTTTTCCTCTGTGTCCTCCTTTGAGACCTCCCCTTAATTCCTGTCCTGGTGACATAAAATAGGTATCTCCCCCAACATGACCATTTGTTTTTACTTTTCTTTTTAACTGCTAAATGTCACCGAAACAGGGAGAGAGGGAAATCTCTCCATGACATCTCCAACTAATAAATTGAATCTCGTTTGCCCCTTCTACCACACCCTATAGTTAATTACTGTTATAGTGACACTAAACTCAGGAAGTAAAGCTTAAAAATGCATTTAAGTACCCTAACTATTAACACTAATGTACCTTATTTGTGTATTATTCGGCTGTAGAGCAATCAGAGCATCTCTGAATTGGTGCTGACACTGTTCTATCCTCTGGAGGGTGGCTACTTTTGTCAAAAGCACAACAATTAAAGTCCAAATTCAGACTTGTATCATAAAGAGCCTATTCAGTTTCGGGGGTTCAAAGGGTCCTCCATCAGGGCTTGGTACTGTTGAACAAAGTGTGTACTGGACTGATATAATTCGAGGGATCCTGCTTTTTGCTCTTACTTGCATACCCAGTCCCTACTCAACCACAGAGCCAACCTTCAGCCACCACTTCTGGGAGAGCTGACTAAGAAGAATTGTTCCCACTGCTTAAGACCCGACTGGCACCACACACCATCAGTAGTCTGCTAAGTGCAGTCTCTCTACAGAAGTGTGACACAACCACTGCCAGCGCTGGAGCTTTGCTATCTGAAAAGCTTACACTTTCTACTAATTTAGGGGAAATGGAGCTGTTTTATAAAACAAGCTAACAGCAACCTTGCACACCTTCTTTTGATGTACCCTAAATAGATTTGTATAATTTATTTAGAAGGTTCAGTTGGGCTTAATGCAGCCAGTGGGAAACATGGCCATTCACTGCAGTATGTGAGTGGGTAACCTAAGCCTTTGAAGGATACTAGAAGGTTTCAAAACTTCCTTTATTAAGATTTTCTATTTGTTAGGGCTCATAATTGTAACAATAATAATAAGCATGCAATAACGGAATTAATTGTATTTTTAGTCTTGCATATGACAAGCTAGAGACTTCAGCTCAGCGACTGACAGTGCCTGGAAATTATTTCTAAATTCTGTCAACTATGCAGTTAGTACAACATAGGCTTAATGAGCTTTTTTGTTTTATAAATATATGCGTGGAATACGTTATTTTGTAGGTGTAAGTTTGACGGGATGTCATCTAAAATAGCAAAGTTACGTTATGTCAATCTCTTAGATTTTCTCATATTCACTTTTAAAACACAGTGTAAAAAAATGCACCACCACTAAAAAAAAGGTGGAGAAAAAAATCGCTACAGCTAGGAACCTGAGCAGCACACAACATGGACAAGTGTAAGTTGGCCCCATTGAGGAAAAATGTGGAAAATAAAACTGTAGTGGCACAAACCTGAACATTTGCTTGGAGGATGGAAATTACCCTACATGGGAGATTAGGGGGTAAATTACACCTCGTCACAGCAGTACTCTTAGGGACTGATTGATAACGTGTTCACCCAGTGTATAGAAGGGTGAACGATGTTTGCCGTGCATTACTGCCACTAGATGGAGCCAAGGAGAATAGGTATTTCCTAGGATCCATGGCTCAATCTAGTGGTAGTACTGCACTGTTAACATGTTTGCTATACGCTTGGCAAACGCGTTATAAATCAGTCCCTTCAACTACCTGTTCCTTGCTGCCCACCAGAAGCTTGCTATAGTTCTCCCTAAAGTGTTTATGTTACCCAAGAGATTAAAAGGTCAGTCCACCAAAACTGATATTTTAGTATTTGCTGTGGCCAGTATCAGTGTTTTCCGCTACCCTTGCAAGATTTCTATTTTATATTGTACAACAAGAGCAAAGGCAGAAGGAATTGGAACAATCAAAGGCAGAAGGAAATGCACAAAAGATACCACCTAGTTCAAGTAGCATGAGAAGGATTTGGTTCATAAAGTTGGAAATCTGTAGCACTCGATTACTAAAACAAGCACGCTGACTCATAAATTTTATTATAGTTTGTATTTCCCAGCAGAGAAGTTGAATCATTCTTTTTCATTACAGAAAATCTTAATATCTTAAATTAAATGAGAGTGTTTGGGAGGAAAACAGGATTTATTAGTTTAATAGAAATACCAGATTTTAACATTTGTCCAAATTGCTAGGAGTGTCCCAAAAAAAGAAAATGATGCATCCATGTGTAACGCCCATGTCAACTGCTCAAGGGATACAACAGATGGAGCTGCTAAATCTGTAAATGTTTTTTTGTAGAATAGTAATATTATACTTAAAGTGTATGTAACACTAACAATTATCTTCTCTTGTTTGCACCTTTTTGATCTGCTAAATATGCCATTGAAAGCGTTTTGTTATATAGGTTTAATAAGTGCAAAATATACCTGTTGGTTTTGCCATAAATCTTGTGAGCTGGTAACTCCCTGTGCTCTCCTGGTGCACAATGAGGGGTTAAGGTGATGAGGAGGTGGAAAAAGGTTTGGAGAGCTCTGTGCCCTTTGTAATCCATCAGAAATGAAGTAGGCAAGGCTGACAACATGTGCTTAGGAATTCAGAGCTGTGTTGTCATTTGAAAGGGGAAGGTAGAAGCACACTGTGTTTTTAGAAGACCAATTGTTATTTTTTTGTACTTGCAACTTGTTTAAACAGGGGATGAATCACAGGAAAATGTGCTTGATTCCAGAGATGTGCTAAATATGTTTTGTTTTCTGTTTGTGCATGGTATAGAACACATGTCTCTATGAGTAGGGCACAGAGGGTCAAAGAAACATGCTCCATATCTTATACTGATGAAGATTAAAATGTCCGAAACAGTTACATAAAGGTGGAGGACTGTAAAATGGCAGACCTGTTAGTGACTGATGACTATATACAGACCACCCACCACCAATAAATTAATTTCTTTGTTAATGCACACTATAATACATTCAATATGAGCACTTATCACTGTATAGTAGGCCCCCACAAAAAAGATGTGAGCAAAATTAGCTTTCTCTGAAACTCTGACCTGCATGCTCTCTCCCATGTACGTCCTCCCACCTCTCACATCACAGTGCTACAGCTTGGTGTCTGGCGGTGTAGCCACCAAGCACAGCATTGTACGAGGGAAGAGGAACAATGTATATGTACATCAAACTGAGAAGTGCCATACCACACCTCATAATAAGCCACACCATTCAAGGCACTAAGGTCACTGACCTATCAATGCTTTCTGGCAGGGGTGCCTGAATCACAAGATGGGCTAAACGCAATTACAAATTGAATTGTTATGTCAAGCAATTTTTATATATATATTGTGGCAGTGCATGCCAATGCCACGGTGTAGTATGGCAACTTTGGCGCCCAGGACTCTAAGCCAGAGGGGCTGAGAGGTTCCACAATGTGAATACCTTTGGAGAGGAGGAACTGGCTGTTCAATTCCTTCCAGGTTTTCCAGACTATAGTGGGACGGGATCTCCAGTCCTGGGGCTAGGTGTTGCCAGTGGCAAGGTTGGGCTGAACAGGTGGCTGAGAGCAGCCTTATTAGGAAGCCAGCCCAGTGCTTTAGAGGAGAGTTGTGGGTGTGCAAGAGGCACACGACCACAGGCAGACTATGCTGCGTGCGTGAGCACAAGGTACACAGCCAGGAAGGCTGGGGAGGTATAGAGGGTTGGTGAACCTGAGATACCTGTAGGGGAGACAGAGAGAGACGGTGACCCACAAGGGGTGAATACTAACAGGCCTTGAGGTGAGGAAAGCTGCTGATGACTGTATTTCCAGGGAAAATCCTGGGACTATCACACTGGGAGTGTGTGGGACAGCCAGATGTCGGCGAGACCAAAACACATTGTTTGATGAATGTCCAATGAACTGTTCTGTTTCATTTATACTGAAGAAAAGCAAGTTATTTTGTGAAGTTCATGAACTGTTGACCTTTTGAATGAATAAAGACTGTCCTTTTTTATATTAAAGTCGGCCTCAGGAGTGGTCACTTAGCGCTTACCATTGTGCTATATTCCCAACTCAAGTGGGTAAACAGAGACCAAGGGCCTTTTTGCCAAAGGTTGGCAAGGGAGAGGCTTTCTACTCAGGCTGTGGCTGCTTTCTAAAGTGAGCTTTAAGACTTTTCAAAACTTTAGTTTGCTGGCCTGTATTTAACCGATTTAAATTGTTCAGAATTTTTTTTTAGCCTTCCACATCTAAATAACATTCAAACATTTTTTGGGCATATAATATTAAACCTGGAAAAATGGGGTAACAATTCTCAATTGCTGAAATTTGTACTTGTCACTATAATGTAAAATTTTCAATGTCCTATTCAAATGGCTATATTGGTGGCAGGGATTTTAATAGACTTTAATAGCGGTGTCCCGGTAATTCTACAATGAATATTTTCTGTTCAGCAAAATGTCACTAGTTCACTAATGTACATCCAGTTGAGCAGAAACAAGATTATAGGAACTAATTTTAGTTATTTATCACTTAGGAACTGTCAGCTTTTTCATAGGGCAAACACTTTAAATAAAGTTACAGGTATTCCTAGATAAAAGTGTGTCCCATCCAATATGATTTATAGGATAAGTGAACGGTCCTGGCTCCATTTTCCTCCCCTTAGGGTTCACTTTAAAAGCAGGTACAGCTGTATTTTTATTGAAGCGTTCTTAAACGGTTAGCCTTATCATATGAAAA